AAGGCAGAGATAGCAGAGGACTTTTCACGAGTGAAGGTATTATTGCGCCAAGTTGAAGCGCTCTAAAGCACTTTTTATGGTATTCCGCCATACAATATAGTCATCAATTTTAAACGCTTAGAAAAACACAACGTTTTATTTTTGTGTCACCAGCCTAGGTCGAGTTACACTAATCGAGTAACTGTGTTTAAATAGGGAAAACGAGGAAGTGTTTTGTCGCTTCTCTTTCTGGCCCATATTTAATGCACTGGGCTAAGCTAAGTGCTAACATAGTTTTGCGGCAATACAGAGCGATAGAGTGCACGCACCGAGACGAGAGAGGTATGCATCAGCTCGTCTTAATTAAGGGAATAACATAGTTTAATATGAAAACCCGGTGGAGTATCCCTTTAAAGAGGAGCCCTGAGTGACGGATCTGTGTGTGTGTGACAGGATTACATTCCCACTGTGTTCTGTCCCAAACGCTCCTCGGACCGCCTCCATCAGGACCTGACGGTGCAGTGCGAGCGGATGGACCTGCCCTTCCTCTCCTACCTGCCCAACGAGGTCAGATAGACCACACTAAACCACTGCAAACAGGGCCAAATAAAAGGGCTCCAGGCCGACCCCTCCTAATGATATCTGAAGAAAAGTAGTTTGTTGTAGTGTCGAGTTTGCCTTCCCAGAATGCAACACAGAACATTCCCCTAACGTTCCCGAATGGTCCCATGAGGTTATTTTTTTGGGAACCAAACAAGAACGTTATAGGAACGTTCCATGTAGGTTATTTTTAGGTTCCATTTTTATAACGTAGGGAGAATGGTCCGGGAACGTTCCCTTAACCTTAAGGGAACGTTCTGGGAACCAAAAACTAACGTTCCCAGAACCTAAATTTGTTTGCTGGGATGCACAAACAATGAACAATTGTATTTTTATGAGATGTTCAAGTTCTGTTTATTTCTAGAGCACATTTACTAGCGGCTGGTAACCGACCAAAGTGCTGTGATGTTTTTAAACGTTAACGAAGGTTAAGACATGTTTCGCTCAGTCTTTGTTCTTGTTAGTTCTACAGCATTTATTCATCTTAATTAGTGCCTGTTAACAGTGGAACTCAAGTATTGTTTCTTTCTGGTCATAAAAGCTTGAAGTCAGTAAACTAGTGTGAAGTCTGTTACCTCATAAGTGATAGTGACCGGAGCAGGGGTCTCTCAGTGATGATGTGTTCTGGTTGTGTTGGTGAAGCAGCAGCTCCTGAACGAGGCGTATAATCTGGTGGTGGACGCGGTTCTGGGTCCCGAAACGGACCTGGCGTCGCTGGGCGAGCCCGTGACCGCCGTTCTGCAGACTCTACGAGGACTCCGCGTCCCGATCGCCAGCCTGGACATCCCGTCAGGTGCCGAGCTTACGGACCGCGCATGAGCAGATGGAGAACCCCTTACGGGGCCATCATGCATTTTAATTATCATGCAATTTTCTGAAAGAAACGGCTTGTAAACATACTTCATCGGCAGGAAATGTAACGTTTTAGGGGTTTAGGACTCTCTCAACGGACCTTCCTGGTCAAATAAATACATTTAGGTTAATTTTTAATACAAATTTCCGAATTAAACAACTCGTTAACATACTTCATCAGCAGAGCAAGAGGTTCCCATCATGTATTAAGTTTTTTTTATGCATTAAATTTCTGCTGATAAAATAAGTTGACATTTTATTACAATGTTACGTCTAGAACCTTTGAGGGGTTCCCATCATGCATTTTATTTTTATGCAATAGAAAAGAAAATAGAAAAAAAATGTTAAGAACATTTCTCCTGGTATAGGACCTTTTTTTGGCATGAATGGTTCTTTAAAATGAGTCCAGTACCCTAGAGTTCTCATTCCCTCTATGAACACGTGTGTGTGTGTGTGTGTGTGTGTGTGTGTAGGCTGGGATGCGGATGATGCTCCTCCTGATGGCATCAGTCCTGCGCTCCTGGTTTCCCTGATGATCCCCAAGCGATGCGCTCGCAGTTTCCCCGGATCTCACTTCCTGGCGGGACGCTTCCTGCCGTACGACATCCAGAGGAAGTACGAGCTGAACCTGCCCCGCTTCACGGGCACCGACCCGGTGGTGGAGCTGTGAGCACGTGTGTGTGTGTGTGTGGGACGAGCGACACAAACACAGTCATGTGACTCTTCCACTTTATTAAAGTATAAATGTTCGCTCCATGTTCTTCCAGTGTTACATTTAAAATAAATAAAACGCTTCTGTATCCAAACTATCATGACCATCTCAAACCGCCCACATTTCTGACATTAAACATTTACTCTCTTAAAGGAGTAGGTCACTTTTATAAACACTTTTGCTGATAATTTACTCACCCCCGTGTCATCCAAGATGTCCACGTCTTTCTTTCTTCAGTCGAAAAGAAATTAAAGTTTTTGATGAAAACATTCCAGGATTTTCTCCATATAATGGAGACACTTTCAGTGCAAACTGTTCAAAGGGCTTTAAACGACACCAGACGATGAATAAGGGTCTTATCAAGCGAAACGATCGCTCGTTTAATAAATAAATAACAAAGTTTAAGTTTTATAAACTCAAATATTATAAAACTTAAACTTTGCTCTGTTCTGTGATGCGCGTTCGTGACTCTCCGGTTCGAACTCGTTTATCAAAATGGATGGATCTTTTATCGTGTCATTTGGTTCATTCCACGAACAAAATGAATGAGTTGACTCGGGAAAAGATTTGTCCATTTGGTAACACTTTATAATAACTACACGCTAATAATCATTAGTTAAGCATGAGTAAACCATTAATTCATCATTCATAAAGCATTAATAGACATTAATAAGCAGTTCATAAATACAGCTATAAATGCTTTCTTCTTGATTTAAAAGCATATCTATAATTTGTTTAATAATTGTATTTTCATCCTTTATTAATGATCAATTTATCATTTCTAAATGAAGAATTGCATTTTTTATAAACCAGTTATTTAAGAGTTGTCCGTGGTTCATACGATTACTTAGAGCGAGTAAGTAAATGATTAATAAACTATTTAAATGTACATTCATACAGCTTATTATTCAGACATATAGTGATGGTTACTTAGTGTGTTAATAAATGCTTTATTAACATGTATTAATGCTGTAATTAAGGGTTAATTTGGGTAGTTATAAAGCATTTAGTAGTGGTCAGTTAACTATGTTCGTGAGCTCATCTAAAGTGAGGACTATTCATGCTTTGTAAAGCATTTTTAAAGGCTGTTAAATATTTCTATGTTCTGTATCACGGCGTTGTGTTTGTTACATTTTACTGTTTAGAAGATTGACGAGTCTTTAAATCGCCTTTATAAATGCTTTACAAAGCATGAATAGTCCTCACTTTAGATTAGCTCACAAAAATAGTTAACTGACCACTAATAAATGCTTTATAACTACCTGCATTTACTATATTTGAAGAGTTCAGATGCAAAAGCCTCTAAATGCCATTTGAAATTTTCTTCTTTAATGATGATTTTTATCAAACTTGTATATTTAAGTTCAGTTATTTCACTTAAATAACAATTAATAGGTAATTATCATTGTCATTTAAGTGAAATTACTGAACTTAAATATACAAGCTTGATAAAAATCATCATTAAAGAAGAAAATTTCAAATGGCATTTAGAGGCTTTTGCATCTGAACTCTTCATTTACTTACACTTTCTAAGTGGTCTTATGAATGTCTGACAACTCTTAAACAACTGGTTTGCAAATAATGTTATACTTCATTTAGAAATTATTAATTGATCATTAACAAAGTATGAAAATACAAGCATTAAACGCATTATAGATATGCTTATAAATCAAGAAAAAAGCATGTATAGCTCTATTTATAAACTGCATATTATATTTATTAATGTTTTATAAATGATGTATTAACTGTTTACTCATGCTTAACTAATGATTAATAGCGTGCAGTTATTATAAAGTGTTACCGTTCATTTTGATAAACGAGTTCGAAGCGGAGAGTCACGAACGCACATCATACAACAGAGCAAAGTTTAAGTTTTATAACATTTGAGTTTATAAAACTTAAAATTAGTTATTTATTTATTAAACGAGCGACCGTTTCGCTTGATAAGACCCTTATTCATCGTCTGGTGTCGTTTAAAGCCCTTTGAACAGTTTGTACTGAAACTGTCTCCATTATATGGAGAAAATCCTGGAATGTTTTCATCAAAAACCTTAATTTCTTTTCGACTGAAGAAAGAAAGACGTGGACATCTTGGATGACACGGGGGCGAGTAAATTATCAGCAAAAGTTTTTTTTAACGTAAAGAAAGTGTAGGGAATAAATTGAAGGGAACACATTTACGCCAATATCTTCTGTCTGAGAAACTCCCAATAGATTTGTTCATTCCCTCTACAAAGCAGAGGCTTGAATCGCAATAGAATATGGGAATAACTTCTACTCTATCTTCTGATCGCACGGCAGACAAATATTATTTTTTCACAATCTTCCTTTATGTTTTCAAGTGCAAATGAAGAGTTCAGATGCAAAAGCCTCTAAGTGCCATTTGAAATTTTCTTCTAGAATGGTCATTTTTATCAAACTTGTATATTTAAGTTCTGTAATTTTCACAATGAACTTAAATAAACAAGCTTGATAAAAATGTTCATTCTAGAAGAAAATTTCAAATGGCACTTAGAGGCTTTTGCTCTGAACTCTTCAAATGTCTTCAGTTTCTAAATATTCTGTATCTCCAGTAAGTCTTGTTTTCTGCTAAACGTATCAAAATGAAGCAAGTTTATGATTAAAACAAGATCAAACATCCACCAATGGGCTCAGATAAATCTTCTTAATTTAAAGGGAAATTTTCCGACCTATTTGTTCTTGTTCAATTCTATAAGAGAAGACATTTTAAATAAACTGATTTAAAGTCAAGAATCCTGAAGAAGATCTGAATTGTTTGCACTGTACGCATCATTTAACGGCACGACGTCAAGATTGTCTGCTCATCTTTAGGGCCTTATTGTGTGTACGGGCAATAAACGAGTGTGTAAGCCCCACAGAAGTGTACATTTACTCTTCCTCAGATCTTCATCTTCATCACCTGAAACCAGAAGAAGCACAGATCAGATTGTACCGTTAGCTCCACATGAGATGTTGATGATGTGATGCTGACCTCAGGCGCTGCTCTCGGGTCAGGGGTCGTCCAACTCAGACTCCAGCCGAGACTATCCTGAATAAAAGCAGAGGAAGAACATGAAAAACGAGCTCGAGTCTCGCAGCAAACACAGTGCTAATGTACACATATGAGCTGTGTGTGAGATCAGGGGTCCAGCTCTACATGCACATGACGCTCAGAGAACACACACACACTCAAGCGGAGAGCAAAGGAAGGTTACCTCACACACTACTGACTAGCAGAGCAGCGTTCCGGACTCGCGTCGGGCGGGATCCGGGTTCGAGTCTTTACAGGAGCAGAATGCTTGGATTGGGGAAACACACTAAACTCAGTTCATGTCAGAGTTCACCTGGAGAAGACAGGCATCGTGAGGGCCAACCGTCATCACCCACTGTAGCGGAGCGCTACGCTAAACTAGCATGAGCAGATAGTGTGACGTTTACATGTGTGTGTGTGTGTTGTTAATGTGCAGCCGGTGTGACGTTCTCGCGTAGCTCATCATCAGGAAGCACATGATATCTCCAGCTCAGTTCTCCACACTTCTGATGATCCTGTTCGTTAATTAAGTCTGATTGCATAAAGAAAAGGACATCTAATCGTTCCACTGAATGTAACTGGTGTGTTCATGAGTTTCTACATTCAGTAATGAACATAAGTGCCAAATTATATTCAATTACAAAAATGATCTGCATTCAAATAGGAAACATTTGAAGAGTTCAGATGCAAAAGCCTCTAAGTGCCATTTGAAATTTTCTTCTAGAATGATCATTTTTATCAAACTTGTATATTTAAGTTCAGTAATTTCACTTAAATGGCAATGAGGATTACCTATTAATTGTCATTTAAGTGAAATTACTGAACTTAAATATACAAGTTTGATAAAAATGATCATTCTAGAAGAAAATTTCAAATGGCATTTAGTGGCTTTTGCATCTGAACTCTGCATTTACATATTTTTAATGCATGACTAACAGATATAATCTGGACGAGCACTTGCACTAAACTATTATATTCCATCATTTTGAAAAGCTACAATTTCAGAATTACTCTGAATATTATTTTAGAAAAGAATATTTTTAATTCATTTACTGCAGATTTTGAATGCACGACTGATATAGTAAATAGAATTCAGCTCCACTTCAAATTTAACGCAGATCTTTAATAAATTAATATTAGTGCCAAATCTTCAAATTTGAAAAGCCACAACACTTATTACTCTTTATCTTTTGCTAAATATAAAATCATTAACTCTCTGCATTTAAATCAGTTACTAATAGTTTATTGCATGAGATTATAACAAATTATAAAATTCAGTAAAATATAAACTCAACTGCAATTTAAAATTGAATGCATGACAATTGTATTTGATATTTTGCCAAGAATTGAATTTTAAAAAGCCACAATTTAATAATTATTACTCCATTCAACACACTGTTTAAGCAAAATAAGGGCTTCATTTACTAATTTAAAGCACGGCAAATACAGCAAATGGGCATGTGCGCCAAATTATTAAATTCAATCATTTTAAAAAGCTACGATTTCAAAATGACTCGTCATTACTCTGAATATTTTTAGCTCACTAACTTTAATTTATTTAAATAAGCTTCATTTAATGCAGATTTTGAATGCACGACTGAAAGTAATTAGAACTCAGCTCCACTTTAAATTTAATGCGGAACACAAATTAAACTTAGTGCTAAATTTTCTATTTTAAAAAGCTAGAACACTTAACACTTTATTTTTGCTGAGCTAGCTAGATATAAAATGATTTCAATTATCTACATTTAAACCAGTTACTAATATTTTAATGCATGAAAGTAATTAGAAAAAAACATGCTAATTTAAAATAATCCAACTGCAATTTAAAAATCGAATGCATGAAAAAAATGTTATTTAACACTAATAGTAGCCAAGTATTCAATTTTAAATTAGTCTATTTCGCACACATATTCTTTAAGCAAAAAAATTAATTGGCTACATTTACTAATTTAAAGCACGACAAATACAGCAAATGGGCATGTGCACCAAACTATTAAATTCAATCATTTTAAAAAGCTACAATTTCAGAATGACTCATCCTTACTCTGAATATTTTTAGCTCGCTCACTTTAATTTTTTTAAATAAGCTACATTTAATGCAGATTTTAAATGCACGACTGATAAAGTAATTAGAACTCAGCTCCACTTTAAAATTAATGCAGAACACAAATTAAATTTAGTGCAAAATTTTTTATTTTAAAAAGCTATAACATTTAACGCTCTTCATTTTTGCTGAGCTAGCTAGATATAAAATGATCCATCAATAATCTGCATTTAAACCAGTTACTAATATTTTAATGCATGAAAGTAATTAGAAAAAAAAGCCAATTTAAAATATCGAACTGCAATTTAAGATCGAATAAATGACAAAAATGGTATTTTACACTAATAGTAGCCAAGTTTAAATTATAACTCTATTTAGCGTACATTCATTAAGCAAAAAATTAATTGGCTACATTTACTAATTTAAAACACTATAAATATACAGTAAAATGGGCATGTGCGCCAAAACATTAAATTCACTATTTTAATGTGAACTACATGTGCAATTATATTTAATATTATTGCAAGAACAGAAGTCAGTGTATGATTATGATCCTCGTGTTCGTCCAGCTGGACTGGAGTGTTTGAAAGGCAACAACAGAATTCAGAGCGTTTGAACAAATCGTTTCGTTTAATAGGCTCCATGAAGCCACAATTGAAGAGCAACAAAAAAAAGGAATAAAAACAAAATAGTGAGTCAAATTCTGATACAAAGAAAAAACAAAAGAGCACAAGTTTTTCTTCCCAGTTCTGGAGTGTACTGTTAACAATTTCTGGTTCTCTTTTCAAGTAAATATTCGATATATATATTAGTCAAGAGTCCATGATTAAAATGCAGGCGTCGAGCAGAGACTGACTCGAGAACAGCAGCGACGGCCACCAGGCGGAAAGGAATCACTTTATGGAAACTGGACAAATCAATGCCTGGCTTATCAAAGTAACAAAAGGAGCCGTTCTCTTAACGAGAGACTAGATCTACTGGAACAGGATTGGAATAAACAGAGGCTTCGTTGAGCAAACACACTCGACTCCCCGTGAAGGACATTGGTCAAATATAACGTTTAAATGTGGAGGAACCAGTCGGCGCTCTTCGTGAAACGTGAACATGCATTCGTTCACGGCTTGATGAACAGAAACGGCCTTTTCTTAAAGTACAACAGAACAGAAACAGGGAGAACAGCTACAAAACAAATCCAAGAATAGATCCATGAGTCTTTAGAAACGCTCGGCCAGTGTCGTGTCGGGTCTTGGGTTTTACTCGTGTACAGCTGAGGAGGAAGTATCACACATCAAGACACTGAAGAATCTCAACAGGTTTAAGACACAAAATCCCTCTAGCTAACCAACCAGAGCAAAGACAGGAAAACAGGGTCGTTTCGAGCGGCCTGGAGAATGACGGCGCGACCGTTCCTCCAATGGAGATGATCGGATCGTTCTTTTTGGGTTCTTTTTGAGTACTTGAAGTCATGAAGCTCGAGATCCAAATTGAGAATTAAAGCATTTGTGTTTTATAAACCCATGTAAAAAAAGAAAGAGAGAAAAAAAAAAAAAGGTAACGTGGTAAAAAAGTCTTGACTATCCGCCCCGTTGAGGAAACTCAAGAAAAGCCTGTTTTGCCAGTCTGCAGCGACATGCTCATGTGGGGATGGTAGAGGCGAAGAAGCTAATACGTACCATAGCTATCATAGCTATCTCTGTAAGAGCCGCCTCGATCGCCGTAACTGGAACTCCTGCACACAGAGAAACACACGTCAGAATCGCAAAACACTGGGTTCACTTCAGTTAAATCGAATAATAATAATAAGTCCAACTTCTGACAAAGCATTAACTCTTGCAGCCCTAACTTATGGAATTGTGGTGGTCTGACATCAAAACAACTTACTTGTGGCGGTCTGACATCAAAACCACTTAATTGCTGCAGTCTAACGTCGAAAACGCTAAATTGTGGCGTCTAACATCAAAAACTGTTGAATAGTGGCGGTCTGACGTCATAAATGCTAAATTGTGGCGGTCACGCGTCAAAAAAAAAAAAAGTTTAATTGCGGCAGTCGAACGTCAAAACCGTTTAATCGTGGCGGTCTAACGTCAAAAAATGTTTGTGGCGGTCTAACGTCAAATCCGTTGAACTGTGGCAATCCGAAGTAAAAATAAATTTAATTGTGGCAGTATGATGTAAAAAAAAAAAAGTTTAATTGTGGCGGTCTAACGTCAAAACAGCTTAATTGCTGCAGTCTAACATTGAAAACACTAAATTGTGGCGTCTAACATCAAAAACTGTTGAATTGTGGCGGTCTGATGTCATAACAGTTGAATTGTGGCGGTCTGACATCAAAAAACGTTTGTGGCGGTCTGTCAAATCCGTTGAATTGTGGCGGTCTGCCGTCAAAAAAAAAAAATGTAATTGTGGCGGTCTAAAATCAAAACAGTTGAATTATGGCGGTCTGACGTCAAAAGCTGTTGAATTGTGGCGTTGAACGTCACAAAAACAATTAATTGTGGAAGTCTGTCAACTGTTGAATTGTGGCAGTCTGATGTAAAAAAAAAGTTTAATTGTGGCCGGTGTAACGTCAAAACTGTTTAATTGTGGCGGTCTAACGTCAAAACTGTTTAATTGTGGCGGTCTAACGTCAAAACTGTTTAATTGTGGCGGTCTAACATCAAAACTGTTTAATTGTGGCGGTCTAACGTCAAAACTGTTTAATTGTGGCGGTCTAACGTCAAAACTGTTTAATTGTGGCCGGTCTAACGTCAAAACTGTTTAATTGTGGCGGTCTAACGTCAAAACTGTTTAATTGTGGCGGTCTAACGTCAAAACTGTTTAATTGTGGCGGTCTAACATCAAAACTGTTTAATTGTGGCGGTCTAAACGTCAAAACTGTTTAATTGTGGCCGTTCTAACATCAAAACTGTTTAATTGTGGCGGTCTAACGTCAAAACTGTTTAATTGTGGCGGTCTAACGTCAAAACTGTTTAATTGTGGCGGTCTAACGTCAAACTGTTTAATTGTGGCCGGTCTAACGTCAAAACTGTTTAATTGTGGCGGTCTAACGTCAAAACTGTTTAATTGTGGCCGGTCTAACGTCAAAACTGTTTAATTGTGGCGGTCTAACGTCAAAACTGTTTAATTGTGGCCGGTCTAACGTCAAAACTGTTTAATTGTGGCGGTCTAACGTCAAAACTGTTTAATTGTGGCGGTCTAACGTCAAAACTGTTTAATTGTGGCGGTCTAACATCAAAACTGTTTAATTGTGGCGGTCTAACGTCAAAACTGTTTAATTGTGGCGGTCTAACGTCAAAACTGTTTAATTGTGGCCGGTCTAACGTCAAAACTGTTTAATTGTGGCGGTCTAACGTCAAAACTGTTTAATTGTGGCGGTCTAACGTCAAAACTGTTTAATTGTGGCCGGTCTAACGTCAAAACTGTTTAATTGTGGCGGTCTAACGTCAAAACTGTTTAATTGTGGCGGTCTAACGTCAAAACTGTTTAATTGTGGCGGTCTAACGTCAAAACTGTTTAATTGTGGCGGTCTAACGTCAAAACTGTTTAATTGTGGCGGTCTAACGTCAAAACTGTTTAATTGTGGCGGTCTAACGTCAAAACTGTTTAATTGTGGCGGTCTAACGTCAAAACTGTTTAATTGTGGCCGGTCTAACGTCAAAACTGTTTAATTGTGGCGGTCTAACGTCAAAACTGTTTAATTGTGGCGGTCTAACGTCAAAACTGTTTAATTGTGGCGGTCTAACGTCAAAACTGTTTAATTGTGGCGGTCTAACGTCAAAACTGTTTAATTGTGGCGGTCTAACGTCAAAACTGTTTAATTGTGGCCGGTCTAACGTCAAAACTGTTTAATTGTGGCGGTCTAACGTCAAAACTGTTTAATTGTGGCGGACTAACGTCAAAACTGTTTAATTGTGGCGGTCTAACGTCAAAACTGTTTAATTGTGGCCGGTCTAACGTCAAAACTGTTTAATTGTGGCGGTCTAACGTCAAAACTGTTTAATTGTGGCGGTCTAACGTCAAAACTGTTTAATTGTGGCGGTCTAACGTCAAAACTGTTTAATTGTGGCGGTCTAACGTCAAAACTGTTTAATTGTGGCCGGTCTAACATCAAAACTGTTTAATTGTGGCGGTCTAACGTCAAAACTGTTTAATTGTGGCGGTCTAACGTCAAAACTGTTTAATTGTGGCCGGTCTAACGTCAAAACTGTTTAATTGTGGCGGTCTAACGTCAAAACTGTTTAATTGTGGCGGTCTAACGTCAAAACTGTTTAATTGTGGCGGTCTAACGTCAAAACTGTTTAATTGTGGCGGTCTAACGTCAAAACTGTTTAATTGTGGCGGTCTAACGTCAAAACTGTTTAATTGTGGCCGGTCTAACGTCAAAACTGTTTAATTGTGGCGGTCTAACGTCAAAACTGTTTAATTGTGGCGGTCTAACGTCAAAACTGTTTAATTGTGGCCGGTCTAACGTCAAAACTGTTTAATTGTGGCGGTCTAACGTCAAAACTGTTTAATTGTGGCCGGTCTAACGTCAAAACTGTTTAATTGTGGCGGTCTAACGTCAAAACTGTTTAATTGTGGCGGTCTAACGTCAAAACTGTTTAATTGTGGCCGGTCTAACGTCAAAACTGTTTAATTGTGGCGGTCTAACGTCAAAACTGTTTAATTGTGGCGGTCTAACGTCAAAACTGTTTAATTGTGGCCGGTCTAACGTCAAAACTGTTTAATTGTGGCGGTCTAACGTCAAAACTGTTTAATTGTGGCGGACTAACATCAAAACTGTTTAATTGTGGCGGTCTAACGTCAAAACTGTTTAATTGTGGCGGTCTAACGTCAAAACTGTTTAATTGTGGCGGTCTGACGTCAAAACTGTTTAATTGTGGCGGTCTGACGTCAAAACTGTTTAATTGTGGCGGTCTAACGTCAAAACTGTTTAATTGTGGCGGTCTAACGTCAAAACTGTTTAATTGTGGCGGTCTAACGTCAAAACTGTTTAATTGTGGCGGTCTAACGTCAAAACTGTTTAATTGTGGCGGTCTAACGTCAAAACTGTTTAATTGTGGCGGTCTAACGTCAAAACTGTTTAATTGTGGCGGTCTAACGTCAAAACTGTTTAATTGTGGCCGGTCTAACGTCAAAACTGTTTAATTGCGGCGGTCTAACGTCAAAACTGTTTAATTGCGGCGGTCTAACGTCAAAACTGTTTAATTGTGGCGGTCTAACGTCAAAACTGTTTAATTGTGGCCGGTCTAACGTCAAAACTGTTTAATTGTGGCGGTCTAACGTCAAAACTGTTTAATTGTGGCGGTCTAACGTCAAAACTGTTTAATTGTGGCGGTCTAACGTCAAAACTGTTTAATTGTGGCGGTCTAACGTCAAAACTGTTTAATTGTGGCCGGTCTAACGTCAAAACTGTTTAATTGTGGCGGTCTAACGTCAAAACTGTTTAATTGTGGCGGTCTAACGTCAAAACTGTTTAATTGTGGCGGTCTAACGTCAAAACTGTTTAATTGTGGCCGGTCTAACGTCAAAACTGTTTAATTGTGGCGGTCTAACGTCAAAACTGTTTAATTGTGGCGGACTAACGTCAAAACTGTTTAATTGTGGCGGTCTGACGTCAAAACTGTTTAATTGTGGCGGTCTGACGTCAAAACTGTTTAATTGTGGCGGTCTGACGTCAAAACTGTTTAATTGTGGCGGTCTGACGTCAAAACTGTTTAATTGTGGCGGTCTAACGTCAAAACTGTTTAATTGTGGCGGTCTAACGTCAAAACTGTTTAATTGTGGCGGTCTAACGTCAAAACTGTTTAATTGTGGCGGTCTAACGTCAAAACTGTTTAATTGTGGCGGTCTAACGTCAAAACTGTTTAATTGTGGCGGTCTAACGTCAAAACTGTTTAATTGTGGCGGTCTAACGTCAAAACTGTTTAATTGTGGCGGTCTAACGTCAAAACTGTTTAATTGTGGCCGGTCTAACATCAAAACTGTTTAATTGTGGCGGTCTAACGTCAAAACTGTTTAATTGTGGCGGTCTAACGTCAAAACTGTTTAATTGTGGCCGGTCTAACATCAAAACTGTTTAATTGTGGCGGTCTAACATCAAAACTGTTTAATTGTGGCGGTCTAACGTCAAAACTGTTTAATTGTGGCCGGTCTAACATCAAAACTGTTTAATTGTGGCGGTCTAACGTCAAAACTGTTTAATTGTGGCGGTCTAACGTCAAAACTGTTTAATTGTGGCGGTCTAACGTCAAAACTGTTTAATTGTGGCGGTCTAACGTCAAAACTGTTTAATTGTGGCCGGTCTAACGTCAAAACTGTTTAATTGTGGCGGTCTAACGTCAAAACTGTTTAATTGTGGCGGTCTAACGTCAAAACTGTTTAATTGTGGCGGTCTAACGTCAAAACTGTTTAATTGTGGCCGGTCTAACGTCAAAACTGTTTAATTGTGGCGGTCTAACGTCAAAACTGTTTAATTGTGGCGGACTAACGTCAAAACTGTTTAATTGTGGCGGTCTGACGTCAAAACTGTTTAATTGTGGCGGTCTGACGTCAAAACTGTTTAATTGTGGCGGTCTGACGTCAAAACTGTTTAATTGTGGCGGTCTAACGTCAAAACTGTTTAATTGTGGCGGTCTAACGTCAAAACTGTTTAATTGTGGCGGTCTAACGTCAAAACTGTTTAATTGTGGCGGTCTAACGTCAAAACTGTTTAATTGTGGCGGTCTAACGTCAAAACTGTTTAATTGTGGCGGTCTAACGTCAAAACTGTTTAATTGTGGCGGTCTAACGTCAAAACTGTTTAATTGTGGCGGTCTAACGTCAAAACTGTTTAATTGTGGCCGGTCTAACATCAAAACTGTTTAATTGTGGCGGTCTAACGTCAAAACTGTTTAATTGTGGCGGTCTAACGTCAAAACTGTTTAATTGTGGCCGGTCTAACATCAAAACTGTTTAATTGTGGCGGTCTAACATCAAAACTGTTTAATTGTGGCGGTCTAACGTCAAAACTGTTTAATTGTGGCCGGTCTAACATCAAAACTGTTTAATTGTGGCGGTCTAACGTCAAAACTGTTTAATTGTGGCGGTCTAACGTCAAAACTGTTTAATTGTGGCGGTCTAACGTCAAAACTGTTTAATTGTGGCGGTCTAACGTCAAAACTGTTTAATTGTGGCGGTCTAACGTCAAAACTGTTTAATTGTGGCCGGTCTAACATCAAAACTGTTTAATTGTGGCGGTCTAACGTCAAAACTGTTTAATTGTGGCGGTCTAACGTCAAAACTGTTTAATTGTGGCGGTCTAACGTCAAAACTGTTTAATTGTGGCGGTCTAACGTCAAAACTGTTTAATTGTGGCGGTCTAACGTCAAAACTGTTTAATTGTGGCGGTCTAACGTCAAAACTGTTTAATTGTGGCGGTCTAACGTCAAAACTGTTTAATTGTGGCGGTCTAACGTCAAAACTGTTTAATTGTGGCGGTCTAACGTCAAAACTGTTTAATTGTGGCGGTCTAACGTCAAAACTGTTTAATTGTGGCGGTCTAACATCAAAACTGTTTAATTGTGGCGGTCTAACATCAAAACTGTTTAATTGTGGCGGTCTAACGTCAAAACTGTTTAATTGTGGCGGTCTAACGTCAAAACTGTTTAATTGTGGCGGTCTAACATCAAAACTGTTTAATTGTGGCGGTCTAACATCAAAACTGTTTAATTGTGGCGGTCTAACGTCAAAACTGTTTAATTGTGGCGGTCTAACATCAAAAAACCTTTGTGGCAGTCTGAAGTCATAAATGCTAAATTGTGGCAGTCTGACATCAAAACCGTTGAATTACGGCAGTCTGACGTCAAAAGCCGTTGAAGGTCAAAAAACGTTTAATTGTGGCAGTCTACAAGCTAAAAATGGTCTAACACCAAAACTCCATTGTTGCAATCTGTCAAAAAGAGGGCATAAGTGTTCAGCATCATCATGAGTGAGATCAGCAGGAGAGTAATGGTGAAACACACACCTCACCTGTCCCTGTTGTAGCCTCCTCCACCACCGCCCCCAGAGGAGTATCCGCCTCCTCCTCCACTCTTGTAGCCGCCGCTGTAGCTTCGGTCTCCGCCGTAACTACGGTCGCTGCTGCCGTAACCGCGGTCTCCACCGTATCCACCTCCGCCTTCAGAGAGCAAGACATTAACACACGCAGCTTTGAGAACATGCCACAGCACTCGTACACTGTGAGAGATCAGCACCTCTCGAACCTCCTCTTCCTCGGCCTCCCCTGAAGAAACCCCCACCTCCTCTTCCCCCTCCTCCTCCTCTGTAGGATCCTCCACCGGACCGGCCTCCTCCTCCACCGCCGCCCTTCCCGGCCTCGTCCACGCGGATCGTACGCCCATCCACCGACTGCTCACAGTGACACAGAGAGGGCGTTAGCACACAAATACTCGGAAACAGTGGAGAAGGCATTTCACCCATCATCTCAACTCTGGTGTTTCTGCACAGCATCATGGGTAATGTAGTTTCACCATGACTTCCATGATTTTTTTTAAAGTTGAAATAAGGAAATTCTACACTGCATTATGGGTACTAAAGTTTGATTGTGCATTTTAATTGCAGTCTAACAGCATAATTTTATTAATTGTTTGCGGTCTGATAAATATTGTATTGTGTTTTGTTACGGTCTAATGTATAAAAATAAAAAGTTTAATCAAACATTTTGAACTGACACTGTCTATCGAAAAAAAAAAAAAGTTTCATTATTGTAGACACACTTTTTTAAATTATTGTTTGTTAAATAGTCTAAATGTTGTGATTTCACATCAAAAAGTGTTTAATCATTGCGTCCAAAGACCAAAAAATAAAAGTACAGAAATATTTAGATAAACAGAAAAGTGGATTCACCATCTTACCATAATTCCTAAAATTAATCAATTTCCATAATTTCTAAAATTAATCAGTTAATTTTACTGCACAGAATGAGCAGATTTCTCATTACATCAAATGTCAAAGATGACTTTAAAAATAAGTTGAACTTTCACACAAATAAAATTGAAGCCTTTGATTAAGAACCTCAAAACCTATGGATCATTTCCCTATACAGACAAAAATTGAGTTTTTCCAATTGATACAATCTAATGAGAAACGTATACTTTTTACTTTGAATCAACTGTTGACCTCCAGTTAAGGTCAAATCTAGAAGAGTTTCAGTGACTAACCTTTCCATTCATTCCTTCCAGCGCATCCTTCGCATCATCTGGATTCTCAAAAGTCACAAAGCCGAATCCTCGGGATTTGTTGGTTTCCCTGTTTCGGGCCACATGAACTGAAGAGGCAAATGTAATAATAATGAGCCTCTTATGTAAATCACAGAAAGCATACGAGCCAATCAAAAACAGCGCGGGCGCAGAGCGGCGCTGAGATTGGCGAGGGGGCGGGTCTTACCGTTGGTGATGACGCCATATTTGGAGAAGGCGTCTTCTAGCGACTGTTCGGTTGTGTCGAAACTCAACCCGCCGATAAACAGCTTTCCTTCGTCAGACATTCTGAGCTAAAAACACACAAATATTACACAAAAAAATAAAATACAGTTTGGACCTCCTCATATAAAGTACCAAAATAAATCGGCATATGTATGACTCATAGTAGACTGGCGATAAAAAAAGAAAAAGAAATAATGAATAAATAAAATGGCGGGAAGCACGTATTACCCATTTAAAATAGATAATCAATCTGTTTTTTCAATATTCATCGTGCATTTCATTTAATAAAACAGTAGATATGGGTCAGCGCGAGCACGCTGCTTCATCAAACTAGGTCAAACAATGGATTCCATACAAACACGAATGCTCGAATAAAATATAACAAGCGCAGACTCGAAACCACCAAATGCGCATTATACTTCATAAAATACTCGATCCTTGATGTTAAAACTATCGATTAAGATATTACAAGTTGATAAAAACGGCTGATCTCAGATGAGGATGATGAAGATCTCCATCACGCGCCGCCATTTTAAGCAGCGCGCGAGTCGAGAAGGCCAAACACGCACAAATCTTTGTCAATTCAACCGTTAAATAAGGTGTATTTAAATCCTGTGAAGAACACACCGAATAAAGTAAAAGAGTGTAGATTAAAGTGAGGTACCTGTGATGTCGCAGTAGTAGCGGGCGGATGAAATGGCGTGTGTGCGTCTCTATCGCCTTCAGAACTCCAGAGACGCAGGAACGAGCCGCGCGCCTCTTATATAAGGCTGAGCTCGGAGGCGGAGCCTAAACACAGCTCATTTGCGTACAAACCGGAATGAACCGAATGAACCGAAAGTTTAAACGAACATTACACAAACGTAACTTACACGTTCAAGTTTCTCCGTGTTTTGAGGTAGTTAAAAACAAATCCTTAAACCGATTAAAAAGTAGAAGTAATTGTCTTAAAACTCTCTAAATGACTGGCAATATTAACCATAAATGTACTAAAATAATTTAATGTAATACAAATGTTATGTTATAATTTGCTTTTTGTGTGTGTGTTTTTTTTTTGTTTTTTTTTTTAAAAAACGTTATTAGGTTGATATGCTGATCGGTCTTATTGTTCATGTGTTTAACTATGAAATCATGTTAATGCCTGTTTGTTATTTAAAAGTATTTATTAAACTTAAAAAAATAAAAAAATAAAGATTTCCCTGCCATCTGATTTTGTAAACACAAAAAAGTTGAAAAGAACAGCATTTATTTTTTTAAAGCATTAGAGATATCTCTGTTGTCACTTTAATGCAGTCTTGCTGAATGTATTAACTAACTTAATCTTTTTAAAAACTTTTGTATTATGTATCAACAGTTTTCAACACTGATGATAATCATAAATGTTATTTGATCATCAGATCCTCATATAAGAGTGATTTGTGAGGGGTCATGATGCTGAAATTACAGGAATAAATAGTTTATTACATTTTTGTTGTTGCATTTTGTTTCACTGTTTGTAATAGTGACAACATGCCCCGCTATCCACAGACGGTCAACATGTGTTGCTGAAATATACTTTTACAAATAAATAAATAAACTATTTGTAATAATACGAGAATAGCCCCTGTTTCCCCTGTGCAGTAATAAGTCAAGTCACATTTATTAATATACAGTGTTTCACAGCCGCTTTTACAGAGATAACAGGAGAATACTGAGGCCTTTGGTTACTGAGACATGATGAATGTGTGTGTGTGTGTGTGTGTGTGTGGATTACTGTCTGCAAACATGAGCTGCTGTTTTACATGTGAGAACGATCCTTTCCTTCATTCATAAAGACGAAGAGTTTCCCAGCATGATCTCAGAGAGAGAGAGAGAGTGTGTGTGTGTGTGTGTGTGAGAGAGAGAGAGTTAATCACTGCAGCGTTAATTATACATGTATGGCATGCAAATGCTGAAGTGTGAGAAACACTTCATACAGGCCCAACACACACACTCATACACACACACTTACACACACACTCTCTCTCTCTAACACACAGACACACACACTCTCTCTCTCTCTCTCTCTCTCTCTCTCTCTCTCTTCTCTCTCTCTCTCTCTCTCTCTCTCTCACACACACACACACACACACACACACACACACACAAGCTAATCCACCTGTTCATGTCTCCTCTTGAACAGTTAAACATTTGATTCATCTGGTTTGAATATTTGATCTGGAATGATTTTTTTGTTCACATCTAAAAAACATTTGGTACGTAATGTACGTAGAATCATCTTCATTATGAGATGAAAATACTTTTTATGAATTAAGCCATAATTATGACAATATGTTTGTCACCATTATTACTGTAATTCATAATTTCAAATTTCTAAATCATAATTATGAATTACTTTTTATGTCATGATTTCGACCTTTTTTATGTCATGATTATGATTACCGAAGCTTCCCTTCTGCTGCGCGTTTCTTCCAGTGTTTACGGTCGCTGGCGCGCAAACCGGAAGTGGTTTTGTCCGCGGCTTCTCTCATTATATTATTAAAGGATTAAACCCTCTTTTACTGTCTATGGATTAAACTTGTCAAGGCGATATCAATATGGGGAGATATCAGACATGATTTTGACCACTAAATTAAGAAGAACCGTGTGGTGGTTCGCTGAACGTTGTAGACAAACTTCCAAATAAAACGTTTCAGAAAAAAAAAAAAAAAAAACATTCAACGATGTTGTTTTTCTAAGACCCGATAACTCTGAACGTTAAAAACGGTGTGGCAAGATTCTCAACGTTCTTGCAGTGAATGTTCGTTATTTGGTCTTTTAAAATGTTTACAAAACGTTATCGTTCGTGGAGCGTTTTCCCCTGAAACATGTTCTTTTTTCATCGTTTGAAGAATGACATGGAACGTCACACACAACCAAAAAAACACGTTTTGAACATGTTTGAACGTTCGCAAAACATGTTTTTATAACGTAATTAGTTACCAGTTACACCGGCTCTGCCCATGCTCAACTAGTTTACAGCATTAGGATTTGAGTTTATGATTTCACACATTACTGCAACTTTAATGTTGAACACTTCATTAAATCGAAAACGTTCTCATTGTGCAGCTAATATTATGAGCTATAATAATGAACACGGCTTATGCACATTATACATTTTAACTTGTTACATTTTAAGTAGCCATGTTTCATTACTTTTTCAGTATTGACTTTTATAGTTTATATAATTAAAAAACGACATAGCCTATTAATATTGAAATTCTGCGCTGAAACACTCGCACACACAACAGAATATCATGACCTATGAAATGTTCATTACAAGATAATAATTAGGAATTCACTGCCAGCTATTTCTGTCCCACATTATAAATATTAGTTATTTGCTGAATATTAGTGTGTTACTGTGTGTGTGTGTGTGTACAGACTAAAATCTTTCTTTGTTGAAATAAACACTTATAAAGTCAAGGAAACATCAGAATTGTGTGATTCTGTCACACACTCTCTCTTTCTCACACACACACCAGTGTTACTCACACACACTCAAACACATCAGTGTTGCTGTCTTGCTCACTCTCTCACACACACACCTCAGTGTTACTGTCTCATTCCCTACCCCAGACTCCACACACACACACACACACACACACACACACACACTAAAGGCCTTCACATAGCTTTATTTGAGCGACTCATCAGAAATAATGTACAAAATGTATAAACTTCATAAACAGATGTTCAACTTTCTCAGTCTGAACACGAACAACAATAAAAAGCACATCGATTACACATTAAAGTCCAGAGTTGTCCACTAACTTCCTAATTGTTGTCAGTTTCTTTCTGCTATTTGGTAGAAAAAATGTTTCTGCAACTATTTATTTCAGTGTAACAATATATTTATTTTAATGTTAAAGATGAATAAATACTGTAACGAATGTGTTGCTCTGCATTATCCAGTGTTGACTGATGGAGACTCACTGTGAAGCGTTACCAAAAACTGGTATAAAACTAGTTTTAATGTGAACTAACCAAGCATTTTTAGTGTTCAATCAAAAACTTTAGAAAGTTTTATTAGTGACCAGTTGACCCATTATTGAATGTATGCACAATGTTTTTCTCTATTAAGGTCTATGTAATTGTGTCTCAACTTAACAGTATAAAATCCTAATGTGTTGTCTAAACACAAACATTTATGTTAAGTAAAAACATGTGCACATCCAGAGGGTGGCAGTATAGTGCCATTTTGCCCCAACTTAATTTTATTGTGTTCAATCTGCTTAAATCTACGAACAACTTAAGTTTACTTAATCCGTTTGTGTTGGATTACATGATTGATTTGTGTTGCATTAACTGAAACTGGGAAGTGCTTTCAGTTCCCAGCATGCTTTGCATATGGTTGAATTAAGAGAGAATAAATGTTAAAATTAAGGGTTATTTTATGTTTGTTTTTTGTTTTTTTTGAGAAATTTAGAAAAGGGGAAGACTTGATAGTGTGTAATAGTGTTTAATGTTAAATTACATTGGAATTATTAAACCATTTAAATTACAGTGAGTTTTTGTGGAGAAGAGTGGAGCATTTTGTTTGGCTGTCGACTGATTTCATTATGTTCAATTGCTTAGGATGAAGGAGCGTGTAAATCTTAGCATTCAAGATGCTAATATGTGTTAATGCTAGCAAATAGCTAGCTAAAGTCTATCAATTTTATTAAATGTCACTGAATCAAATGAAATATTAATAGATGAATGAATATAATAAAATGCCTTTGAATCATGTCAGTAAGCCTTTAAAAATTCACGTTGAGACTACTTAAATTAGGTAATTTAAAATGACTTAATTCCATTATGTTGAAGTTACATGAACAAATTATGTTTGTTTAACGTAATCCAGTTGTGGAACCTGTTGACAAATAAAAATTAATTAAAGCCAACATATTATTTTTTTGAGTGAACATGCAATATCGTGAAGAAGAAATACAAGACTATATAGTGTAAAACAAAAACTTTAAATCTAAATCTCTCAATTTCTCCAACAAAAAAAAAGCCATTATGAGCTTTCATGCTGGTGAAAAATTAATAATAATCTTAAAAAAGTGTTTATTTTGTGCTTAAAACTAGAACAAATATCTGTTTTCCCTTTGAATGAAGATGATTTCTCTCCACTGGCAGATATTTGTTCTCATTTCAAACACAAACTCACTTCATTCTCATACATTTTCCAGCCTTGATATCTCCAGTTGTTCTTGTTCTCCAGTAAATGTCTCTTGATTTAGGATTTTAAGAAGTTTATGCTGGAAAACGAGACCGAAACACTGAGGAGGAACAGACTCGTTTGTGTAAACTATTTATCCCCGGTGATCATATGCAAGACTTTATGGATTATGAATGTTTCGGTTTGCGACCGTCTCGACGATGGTTCTGCGTGTGTGTGTGTGTGTGTGTGTGTGGAGTCCCCTATCAGAGGACCGATCTGCGTGTGTGTGTGTGTGTGTGTGTGTGTGTGTGTGTGTTTGGTTCCCCCATCAGAGGACCGATCTGCGTGTGTGTGTGTGTGAGTGTGTGTGTGTGTGTGTGTTTGGTTCCCCCATCAGAGGACCGATCTGCGTGTGTGTGTGTGTGAGTGTGTGTGTGTGTGTGTGTTTGGTTCCCCTATCAGAGGACCGATCTGCGTGTGTGTGTGTGTGAGTGAGTGTGTGTGTGTGTGTTTGGTTCCCCCATCAGAGGACCGATCTGCGTGTGTGTATGATGATAGCGTTGGGGTTCTGCTTGGGCGTCAGGCCGCTGTTGCTGCACTGGAAGTAGTTGGAGAGCGCCTCGGATAACTCCTGCGAGTCTCCCTCCTCTCCCTCAGGGATTCTCTCTCTCAGGTCTTTCTCTCGGTGAATCTCCCTGCGAGATCCGCGCCTCCACGCGTCTCCAAACGCCTCCGCCGTCGGGCCGGAGCTGACGGAGCGAGGAGGAGAACTCTGATCCCGGTGGAGTCCTGAATCCTGAGGGCGGAGCAGAGGTGACGAGCTGTCAATCATCTGACGGATACGTGTTAACAGCTCGCTCGCTCGCTCACTCACTCACTCACACACTCGCTCACTCACTCACTCACACACTCACTCACTCACTTGCACGCTCACTCACTCACTCACTCGCTCACTCACTCACTCACTCACTCACTGACTCACTGACTCACACACTCACTCACTGACTCACTCACTCACTCACTCACTCACTCACTCACTCGCTCACTCACTCACTCACTCACTCACTGACTCACTGACTCACACACTCACTCACTGACTCACTCACTCACTCACTCACTCACTCGCTCACTCACTCACTCACTCACTCACTCGCTCACTCACTCGCTCACTCACTCACTCACTCACCAGAGACAGATTGCTGGCCTTGACGTAAGACTCGACTCTCCGCCTTCGCTCGTCCTCCTCCGCCTCTCTCCGCCTCTGCCGGTGCGGCGGGTAAATCGCGGGGCGACCAAGGCTGTCGAACTCTCCGTCTGCGAGTCGACCTCGGGCGTCACTCAGAATGGAGTGATTCTAGAGAGAGAGAGTCTGAGTCAGTGTGTGTGAGTGAGTGAGTGAGAGAGTGAGTGAGTGTGTGAGTGAATGAGTGAGTGAGTGAGTGTGTGTGTGAGTGAGTCAGTGAGTCAGTCAGTCAGTGAGTGAGTGAGTGAGTGAGTGAGTGTGTGAGCGAGTGAGTGAGTCAGTCAGTGAGTGAGTCAGTGAGTGAGTGAGTCAGTCAGTGAGTGAGTCAGTCAGTGAGTGAGTCAGTGAGTGAGTGAGTGTGTGAGTCAGTGAGTGAGTCAGTGAGTGAGTGAGTCAGTGAGTGAGTGAGCGAGTGAGTGAGTGAGTCAGTGAGTGAGTGAGTCAGTGAGTGAGTGAGTGAGTCAGTGAGTGAGTGAGTGAGTGAGTGAGTCAGTGAGTGAGTGAGTGAGTCAGTGAGTGAGTGAGTGAGTCAGTGAGTGAGGGAGTCAGTGAGTCAGTGAGTGAGTGTGTGAGTCAGTGAGTCAGTGAGTGAGTGTGTGAGTCAGTGAGTCAGTGAGTGAGTGAGTGAGTCAGTGAGTGAGTGAGTGAGTGAGTGAGTGAGTGAGTCAGTGAGTGAGTCAGTGAGTGAGTGAGTGAGTCAGTGAGTGAGTCAGTGAGTCAGTGAGTGAGTCAGTGAGTCAGTGAGTGAGTGAGTCAGTGAGTGTGTGAGTCAGTGAGTGAGTGAGTGTGTGAGTCAGTGAGTGAGTGAGTCAGTGAGTGAGTCAGTGAGTGAGTCAGTGTGTGAGTCAGTGAGTGTAAGAACTGAACTCACCGACACTGATAAAGCGCTGCTCTTCATCCCTCTGTTCATTATCAGTGAATTCTCTTCAGCCTAAACCAGAGGAACTCACTTTACTTTCAAACACATTAAAAACATCCAGTCTGAGCATTAAACCATTCAAGATTATATTATAAACTAACAATATTAAAGTGCCCCTGTGGTGTGTATCCAGCGTTTAATGTTGTTTATGTGTGTATGTGGTGTGTTTAATACGCTTTAACACACACACACACCGTGTGTAAGTTGATAAGTGGACAGCATTTCTGAGTATTTCCTCCTTAAAACCAAAAACACGCTGTGAAATCGTGATTCTTAATAGACTCTCATGAAAATAGAAACACAAAATAAATGTTAACTAATACTTTACACTAACATTTTGGTACTTAAACTCTTTGTTTAATGTGCTATAAAGGTATTCATCATGATGTTATAATGCATTTGATCTTTTCATAAATCATTGTAAGATGTATATTTATATATAATATTTGCAGATTTCTTAGTTGTTTGTTGTGTGTTTTACTCTATTATACTTTCTAAAGGCGTAAGAATGAATAGCTTAGTATTATAATGTATATAAGGTGCAAAATTAACATATAAAAATACTTTTATAATGCATATTTTATATAAAGGACTGAAGTAAAGTTGTATTTGCATTACAGTAATAAGTAAATAATGTCACAAAGCAACCCCCCCACGTTATTATGCTGTATATAATAGAGTCTGTGGTGAATTTCAGGAATCAGTGACGCACAAATATAAAATCTGAACATTTGTGTTTTATTATAATAGCTGAAATATTGAATAAATAAAAAAACTGATCTTAAAATAAATGAAACCTAAATAGCAAATAACTGCTGTGTGTGTGTGTGAGCGAGGAGTACCGCAGTCCTGGGGTCAGAGGTGATGGAGTCGAGTCTCCTCATCGACACCTGCCTCGACAGACTGATCATCTCCACCCTGAGACACAAACACCTTCATCATCTTCATCCTCATCTTCAGAGAAACACAGGGTCAAAGGTCGCAGACTCACGTTCTCGCGCTGAGCGCCCGCTTCAGCTTCTTGTTCTTGCGTCGGAGGTGACAGTTGACGAAGACGATGGTGATGACGACGAGGAGGACTAGCGCCCCGACGACTGACGCGCCCATGATGATGAGGAGCGACTCCGATGGGCTCTTCATCAGGTCTGACCACTCACCCGCACGCCCTGAGAATAAACAACAACAGCTGTCGAGGTCACTTAAAGGTGCAGTGTGTACGTTTCAGCAGCATCTAGTGGTGAGGTTGCGAATCGCACCCAACGGACGTATACAGAAGTGTTCGTTCCCGGGAGAAACTCGGTGTGTTTTCATGCAGATTTTGGGTTTGCTTCCATAACTTGTCTTCTTTCAGACTAACGGAAGAAAAAAAAACGATTTATTCTATATTCGATCGATGTGTGTTCATATATCACTCTTATGATTTCTACAACATTTTATTCCTGAGAACATGGCGAAAATGTATTTATTTGGTTTGTTGACAATATTTTCTGACTTATTTCCAAAATCCATTTCCAAAGAAAAAAAACACGACTTTTTGAGTCGAACTATCCAATATTCAGATTTCTGTATGGAAATGAGTGCATTTAATTAGACCATGCTTTAATTGCATTTTTTTTTTCAGAAAACCTGTAATACAAAACAATTGTCTTAATGTACTGTAAATAAGCTAGTGATATCAATTAGTTAAAATATTTACCCTATTCTTTTGTAGTGTCTTAATTTACTTAATTTAGATTTTAATAAAGAATACATTTTATTATTTAATATAATTTCATTTAATTCTTTAAGGTATGTTCCACCACACGGGGGCAGCAGAATCGTGAGAGTTGTCCTGTGGAGTGACGGATGTGGACGCTCGCTGTCTCTCTCTCTCTCTCTCTGTGTGTGTGTGTGTGTGTTACACAAAGGCGGAGTTTCAGTTGTTTCTGAGTCACTGTTGTCTATGATTAAGATCTAGATTTACACTGGAGAACATCATTATAAGGAAGTCAAAGACGCTCGGGTTGTGTTGGAATAACAAAGAAAAACCCAGACGGGCCACAACATTAAAAACAGAAATGTTTCCAGAATCAAACATCCTTCTTGTTATTTTAAACACATTTTCTGCTGATGTTGGTCCATCTATTTATACACACTTCACCAGAAGCTGAAAATACACGGCATAAACTCATGTTCCTCCTCCGGGTTTCGGTCTCCTCATTTACTAGAGAAGCAGCAAAAGTACTGAGGATATTAAGATATTTTATGTATTATGTGATTATTAGAAATACTGGGACATTTTTGAATGTTTATGATAATAAGGATTATTACATTGCATTATTGTGATTATTGAGACGGTCATTTTGTATATAAATATGTGGATGTGTGTGTATCATAATTGTGACGTTTTAGTTATTATTTGTAATGTCCATGTATAGATATGTATATATAACCTTCATTGTTTCTGAGCTGGGCTGGACCGGAGCGAGTGTGTGTGTGTGTGTGTGTGCTCGTTCAGGGAAACCCATGCGGTTGGTCAGTCAGTGATGATGATGATGATGATGATGAAGTGCGAGTCATTAGTTCTGAATGAGTGTTTATTAGGCGTGACACCTACGCTCGATCTCGCGTCCGATCTCCAGTTTAAACTGGGCTTTGGTGGTTCCCATGATGTTCCCAGTGTGGCACACGTACAGACCCTCATCCGACACGTTCAGCGGCCGAGCGAACACCAGCCTCTCTCCCTGCACCGACACACTCTCCGGCAGACGCCCGTCCTGCCTGAAACACACACACACACACAGCCAGTGTCAGTTCAAACAAGTACAAACACATAATACACTTTTTACTGAATCCAACAATGTAAATCATCAAATGTTCAATCAATCATCTGTTCTCTGTGTGAATATATAATAAAGTGTAATTTATTCCTGTGTGTTTTCAGCATCATTACTCCAGTCTTCAGTCACATGACCCTTCAGAAATCACTCAGATCAAGAAACATTTATGATTATTATTCATGTTGAAAACAGCTTCATATTTTTGTGAATAATTGTATTTTCCGGATTAATACGCCTCGTTCTAAATGTGTGTGAGAGCTGATTTTCACTTCCTCCGTCAGTATCTGTGTTAAATCTGCTGTCAATGTCTTTAAATATCCTCAGACAAGATTACGACACACACACACACAAGTTCAGTATGGCGTACCACAAGGCTCAGTACTAGGACCGCTGCTGTTCACTCTGTACATGCTACCCTCTCACACACACACACACACACACACACACACACACACACACACTGGCGATCCGGCGGCTGTAACCACGCCAAACACCACATTAAAAAGATCTCGTGTTTCGGACCCTCGCTGTAATTATCATGCGAGTATCATGTGACTCCCACAGTCTGTCGCCAGTTCACTCTCTAACAGTACCTGAGTGAAAACACCCTGACAAACTGCAAACACATCGTGCTTATTTTAGTGTATTTCTTTAATTATACATTACTCAGGCCTGGAAGTGACACAGCCGATCGGAGGACGAGCTTCTGCTGTGTGTGTGTGTCGGCCTGTAACTTCAGGACTGGTTATTATTATAACCCCCTCACACACACACACACACACACACTCTCATTGTGTTTCTCAATATATTCTCTTGCTTTCTTTCTCTTTAACACACAATCACAAAGGGCTGTGAACTGCATATTCACATCAACCTTTCAGGATAAAAGAAAAGCCTTTTCTTTTCTTTCAGTGTCACGTTTCCACCCGAGAGAGAGAGAGAGAGAGAGAGAGAGAGAGAGAGATGCTGAACGAGGGTGGGGTGTGTGTGTGTGTGTGTGTATCGAGACGCACGCTGAGCCCTAAATAACCCTCCTGTCCTGTAATGATTGTTTTAACCGGCACAGAAACACAGGATTAAAGACGCAGCGCATCAACTGCAATTAACAGTGTTTGATGCCTCGTCCTGATTCTGCACACACACACCGATCACACACTTCTGTGACCGATACACTGCACACACACACTTCTACAAAATACTAAAAATATTACTAAACCTAAAATTGAAAAAATACTTAAATACTAATACTAACAATAGTAAATTAGAAAGAAAAACACTAAATATTCAAGTTAATAAATACTAAAGTTATGAAGTTAGCATGAGGCTGTGTGACGCGCTCACCTGCTCCAGCTGATGTTCTGCGGCCGCGGGTTCCCGTTCACCACACACCTGAGCTCTGACCCCACCTGACCCCGCCTCCACGGGCCAGAACCAACGATCTCTGCGTCTGGAGGAACTGACACACACACACACACACAGAACGTTTACTTTTACACTGCCGCTCAACAGTTTGGAATGATTAAGATTCAATGTTTCTGAAAGTCTCTTCTAGTCACCAAAGCTGCGTTTATATGATCAAAAATACAGTAAAAAATGTGAAATATTATTCCAATGTAAATCATCTGTTTTCTATGTGAATATACAGTAAAGTGTAATTTATTCCTGTGATCAAAGCTGAATTTATCATCATTACTCCAGTCTTCAGAGTCACATGACCCTTCAGAAATCTAATCCCAGTCTATCACACACACACACACACACTTACAGTGCACGACGAGTGTGTTGCTGAGTCTGCGCGGGCCGTCGAGCGCCGGGTGCCACACCAGACAGTCGAGCCTCTGGCCGTTCATGCTGCGCAGCGGATGCAGGGAAAACTGCGAGGTCACGACCCCGTCCTCCCCGCTCCGGTTCTGCACCCGCCCGGCAACATCCGTGTCCCAGGACAGCAGCGGCGGCGGGTGAGCGACCGAACGACACGAGGCGGCCGAACGAAACGACTGTCCCTCCTGCAGGATCACCGGATCCAGAGACGAGATGGGCAGAACTGGAGGACGAGATGAAGATGAAGATGAAGATCCATGCTCGAAAACATTCATCATCATCAGCGTTTGATTTATGATTCTTTGATGAATCGAACGTTCATTTATTAGAATCTATAAATGTCTTCACTGTAGCTTAGGATAAATGTAATTCATCCTTGATTAATAAAACTATTGTTTATTTCCCCCAAAAAACTTTAATGTCACAAAAGATTGCTGATCTTTTGAACTTTCGATTCATCAAAGAATACTGAAATAAAAAACTGAGTTATGCACATATTCAAAATCACAGTTAATGTTAAAACGATGTTATAATTAAAGAAACAATGAGCTCATTGAAGTCATGAACACTTGTTTGTTAAAGACTGATTATGACATATAGAAAAATGTGGCATTAACGCATGTTGATCAGATCTCCTTCATCTAATGAAGAGTTTCATACAGTGATAACAGGAGATTACAGTCACAGAGAGAGTTTACAGCAGATCTGGAATAAAGTTACTGTCCAGATAAAGTTAGTTTTGATTGATTCACTTCCGTTGTAAAGATCATTAGTGATGAACTCACTCGACACCGCTGTACTGAACACAGAAACTTCAGTGCGTTCATTCACACGACAGTGTTTGAGCTGGAGATTGATTCGTAAAACACATTTTTACAGCCTGAACCAAGGCTATTTTTAAACTGGTTAGTTCAGGAGATGTTGGTTTTGTGTTGCACAGCAGATCATCCGATTAACAGACCGTTCCTCTCGTCAACAGAAGAGTTACGGTTACGGTTACGGTTAGGAGGGGCTCTTACTCCAGACGGTCAGGCTGACGTGCGTCTCGAAGTTTCCCGAGGGAAAGGTGGAGATGTGGCAGGTGTACGTGGCCTGATCCGCCTTCTTCGTGTTCAGGATCAGCAGCGTCGAGTCGAGCGTCGGGTCAGAGCTCTCGAACCGGACGCGCTTCAGGAAATCAGGAGACGCTGGGACACACAAGAGCAGCATTTCAAGACCATGTTCAATTCAGTTAAAGACAGAATAAAACGATCACTATACTCTGCCCTTAAAGATCAATATTCAGTTTTGGAGTCTCAACAGGTTCACAAGCATACAAGTTAAAAAATACAGCAACCCTTTACAATAAGGTTCATTATTTAACCCTCTGGTGCTCTTCGTTTCGGAGTCACACTTGTTATCTTCCCGGTCAAAAGTGACCGGACACCTAAAAATGAAACTTTCTCCATCCCAGTAAAACCAATGCAATTTATTTTTGTTCTATAATATTTATTCTTTTTAATTTAGTATTTTGAGACAATTTAATTGAATTTATTAATATTTATGGTTTATTTTTGCCATGGAAAAATATATATATTGTTCTATATATATATTATTTTTTTCAGAAAAATATTAATGCAGTATTTTAGTTTAATATAGAGTCTAGGCCTTCAGAAAAAAAAATATATTTTTTGAAGAAAATTAGCCCCATCTGGTTACAGTATAGAGAAAAAGCGTAGAATCATGGTGTAACCACTATGAACACATTATTTTGTTGTTGGTGGTGGATTTGAATAAATAGTTGAAACAATCTCAAAAACTATTTCTTATAAAAAAAAAATTGACAAAAAACAAATATTCACATTTTTTTTTTTTTTTTTTTTACAATTTCCCATTCATTTCCTATGGGGTCATTTTTGACCAAAGACCACAAGTGTGACTATTTTTTAAGACCACTTAGCATGCTCAGATCATGACCTCAATTTTTTTGTGTGTTCACATACATAATACCATAAAAGTCACGTAACATTGCGATGAAGCTGTGATTTTTAAAAATTCAAAACATACTTTTTGTAATCAAAATTTATTGGTGTGTATGTGTATAAAAGTGTGTTTGTATGTGTGTGTGTGTGTGTGTGTGTGTCTGTTTTTCACTCTAGATGTTATAAAGCGTCACCCCTTTCCTGCAAAACTGGCTGATTTGTAGATTGTACAAACAAAAATTCACAGAATTTTTTTTTGTCAATTTCCCATTCATTTCCTATCGGTCGGTCATTTTTGACAGAAGAGCAAAACTGTGACTAATTTTTTTACGACCACTTAAATTGCTCGAATCAGGACCTCAATTTTTTTGTGTGTTCACATACATAATACCATAAAGGTCACGAAGTTTCGTAACATTCTGATGAAACTGTGATTTTTAAAAATTCAAAACAGAACATTTTTCGATCAGAAATGACCGTAGAGCACGAGAGAAAACACTAAAACAGCACCTGCTTCTCTCGAATATGATGTTAATGTGGGTCTGTTCTTCACACAGAAGATCACATGACCCGGAATAGAGTTCATTAGTGACACCGACTGCAGTCTGTGATCGTTCACTAAACGAGCAGCTTCGAGTCTCCAAAGAACGAGTCCGAGATGACATGAGGGCGAGTCAGTGATGCAGAATAGTGTGAGCTATTGTTTAAAGCAGTCCACACACACACACACACACACGGCAGATGCGAGTTAGCGAGTTGGCACACAATACACCATTGAAAATACCCGTCATGACAAACGTTCTAGGTGACAGACACACGTCACACACACACACGAGTGTTTCCATCGGCCACGGACAGCAGAACGGCTGCGGGGCAAACCAGGCTTGTGTGTGTTTAGATTCTTTGAATGGGAGGGGATTTAATGACGGATCACCAGAACACACACACTCGACTGACGCATGACACACACTCGACTGAGAGGACGCAGTGAAGTTGCCCTGGCTTTCGGCTTGCTTAGTTGAGGACAGGGACGTGCACAGGGGGGTTGCTCAGGTTGCCCGGGCAACTGCCCATTTGCCCTTCTCGACCCAGGTTGCCCTTCCGAGGAAAAAAAAAAATCGTACAATGGATGTACAATTTCACGTAGGCCTAGACAAAAAAAATAAAATAAATAATAATATAAAAATCGCAAAGCCTCATTCACTTCCATTCGGGCACTGAAAGTGAAAGTCAAACTGTTTACGTGGCTGCAGTGCCGCACGCGTGGTAAGGCACCGCAAATTACTCAGGCCGCGCGCTAATTAATGTGTACGAAGTCCATGACAAAATGAAGCGAAACTATCCTTCTCGTCACGAAAAGAGGAAGAAGAAAAACATGAAAGTGAATTGCGGAAACAGCAGTCAGGTAAACTTGTGTTCTCTCCTCTCTAGGTTTGATGTCAGCAAAGTTTGATGGTTTTTGGTCTTGCTAACCTATCTGGGCAGACAGTGCATCTCTTGCATCACTTTTTGCCTGACAAATGTGAGAGTAAAATACCATTATTTATTACGTTTTGTTTTTGATAAACGACAAAGTGCAACAACAGTGTTTGTTTACTGCAGCTCGGAAAACATAACCGCGTCGCGTGTGTTGCGTTCATATGCGCGTGCACGAAATGAAACTCGTATTTTTCAAGCAGAAATGTGGAGACCAGAAATACTGTACAATACGTGAATGATGGCACTCCCAATCAAAGTACACATTTTAAAGACACTGATTATCTAGTCTCAGTAAAAACTCTAAACAATTGCACTAATTATGCAAGATAGAAACCAATGTATTGGCAATTTGACATTGATTGACTATTGATTTATTGGCTATATTGAATTTAAAATGATGATTAGCTGGACATTCGGTCAATATGAATGCAAATTCCTCAGTAAATAACCATAAATCAAGATTTGCTTTAACATGCATAATTTTTTTTTTTAAATATAAAAAAAATCATAGGCTACTGATTCCGAAAATACCCAGGCTGTAGAGTGAACCAAAGTTAATCCCAAAAGCCAAATTTCAGGGTTGTACTTTATTATTTTTTCTTATTTATGTTTACGTTAATATTCACTTGTTATCTTAACATTCTATAAAAATGCTTTATTCAGTAAATATTTTTTGTTTGAACCTCATTCTGTTCTATAGACCATTTTGCAAGATGTAAACAACACTGGTCCAGAAGCACGTCCTGTTTCAGTTTTTTAAAACTACATAAAAGCTGGGATAAAATACAACCAACAGAACATGTAAAACTGAATCAAAAAGTTAAACAACATCTTCAAGATGTTTTCTTTACATGTGAAATAAAGAAAACATTTACAAACTGAAACAGGAAGTGTTTCTGGACCAGTGTTGTTTACATCTTGCAAAATGGTCTATATTGTTGTACTTATTCTTTGACTATTTTGTTTTAAGGAGGGAGGATTGTATTGGGCGGTATTGAGTGGCAATGGCAAATGGTTTACATGGCTCACGGCATCACAGATCAGGTAGAGGGCCCCTTAGCAGAATTTTGCTTAGGGCCCCAGGGGGAGGTCAGGATTGGCAAAAAAGGATTGTATTTTTTCCCGAAATCTAAGCGTTTTTTAAATTTTTTCGAGTTTTTCCTTTCAATCCAGATTATTTCTTTTCAAATAAATAAATAATAATAATTTAAAAAACAATAAACAACAATATGAGGAACTCTTAGTCTTTTGCTCATTTGTCTCATCTCTGACATTTTGCAATCTTTATAAATAATAATAAGACCATAAGATGAGGCATTGCGTTTGGAATTTGGAAGGGGACAAATTCAACGGAATATATTCCTTCATATAGCCCGTGAGGGGGGAGGAGGGGAAGGGGGGGGGGTGCCCTTTTTTCAGGTCAGAGCAACTGCCCCTCAAAATTCCTGTGCACGTCCCTGGTTGAGGACGTTTAATATTCAACTATATTATTGATCTGCTGTACTTCAGGTGACGGTGAAGCAATTTTCTTCTAAAAACTAAAAACACACTCTCTCACACACACACACTCACACTCTCTCTCACTCTCACTCTCTGTAGATTATCTGGGTGTTTGGATTAATGGTGTATTTGAGTGTTTTATGGGATTGACTCGACTGTTTACCTTTGGGTCCGTCAGTGAAGTGTCCTGTGATGATCTGTTCTCGTTCTCCTCCTGGTTTCTGTCTGGACCAGGTCACCTGCACCACCTTCTCGTCTCCATCCACCGCGAACCGACAGGGAAGCCGAGTCTGTGTGTCGGAGAACGAGCGCAGGGACGCCGGCGGATCGAGGAACTCCCCGTCAACACACACTGAGAAATAAAGAGTCAGAGTGAGATCTGAGAACACACACACACACACTGAGAAATACAGAGTCAGAGTGAGATCTGTGAACGTCTCTGTCTGGGTTCAGTGTGGAGTCGAGGTCAGTGTGTGTGTGAGTTAATAATAAACTGCACTATCATGATCCACCGCTCTCGGCCCGACACACACACACACACACACACACACGCCACAGAAACACAAGGACGTTCCCACGCCCAACAATGATGGTCCGAAATCAGACCAAACCATCAACGCTCCATCAAACCATAAAGCACGTCCCATACGGCCGGTTTCTGACGACATGTTTATCAGAGTTATGGTGGAAATTCGCATTTAACGTTTCATAATATCATATTTGATTGATCAGGCGTATAAAGTTCTGATATAGTGAGAATATGGAGGACAAACAGATTCATTTTATTATTAGAGACTGATGTTGATATTTAAATGAGATTAGGATGCTTGCAGATATTTACATAAAATGCATTAAAATTTTGCTCAGTTTGAGTCTATAGATCATAAAACTAAGCATTTAAATATCATCTTACTAAGAAATATTATTGGCAGATATTAATATTTGTATGCGAGTTAGTGATATAAATCAATGAGATCTTTATAACATTATAATGCATACACTTACATAAATGCATATGTGTGTGTATGCAAATTATCTGCCAATAATATGATATTTAAAGGCTTAGTTTTGTGATCAAATCTCTGTAGTTTTAACATGTATAACGCAATGCAACACAAAGATGATTGACTTCCTCAAAAGCCTGATGATCATATTTAATACTCATGATGTTTCTATAAAATGATGATGGATAATCAATTGAAATATTAGTGACGATATCAAAGTTATTCTCCCGTTTGCCTGATAAGAGCGGCTCAGACTGACACAGAAGGACTGGAGCTGAAGGAGGGCGTTTGAAGAGTTATAATAGAGTTAGAATAGAGTTAGAATAGAGTTATAATAACAGACTTGACTGGATAAAGAGTGTAAACTCTTGAGATGGAGTGTGACAGGTTTAGCGGATCTTGTTGATGTTTATGATCAGATGTGTGTGTGAAGTCTCATGAAGGGAATCAAAACACAGGAAGAGCCGCTAGTGGTCCTGCGGTAAATAATGAAAGAGGAGCGCCGGAGAAAACTGAGCAGAGATTGAGACGCACTCGAGAGCTTACGCTCCGTCTGAGCCGTGTCCATCACTCTACACACTGCAGCTCGACTGGAAGAGTGTGTTGATGGATCTCCACTTCATGTTTAACGTCAAATCATCTTGAAGCAAATCCAGCACACACTTACATTTCAAAGCGAGAGAATGAGACGGAAAGCAGGAGAAAGTGAGACAGCGAGAGAGAGAGAGAGAGAGAGAGAGAGAGAGACTCACTCACAGCCTAAGACCTACACACATGTATATAATGTTCAATATTTTTTCTTTTTTATGTATATATATATATAGATGATTTCTAAATCCATTTTATTTTATTTATTAATCTGTTCATTTTATTATTATTGTTTTATGATATCAGTTTTAATATTTTGTGTACTAAATGTTCCAAATCATTTTCTATGTTGTTTTGACGCTTTGGCAATACAAAATGTATTTTTTGTCATGCCAATAAAGCTTTCTGAATTGAATTGAATTGAGAGAGAGAGAGAGAGAGAGAGAGACAGCGAGAGAGAGTGAGAGAGAGAGAGAGAGAGAGAGAGAGAGAGAGAGAATGTCATGTTGCAGTTCCGGTTATTGTTTGTCTTCATCACACACACACACTCACTGAACACAAACACACTGACACGCCACACGTTTAAAATACCAATACATACCTTTACCTTCACACACACACACACACACACACACGCACACACACACACCTGACCCTGAAACCTACCCATCTCTCTCTCTCACACTCACACACACACACACACACACACACACACACACACAATCTCACTTACACTCTCTCTCTCTCTCTCTCTCACACACACTATCTCACTCAGACTCTCTCTCTCACTCACACACACACACACACACACACACACACACACACATTTCTGCACATATTTCCTCCACGACAGTCATAAATCAGTGAGTAATGGTTTTTGAGGCTGGTTGATGATTGAAGAATGTCACTGTACCACATAGCAATTGAATCAACCATACACACACACACGCACACACACAAACACACACACAACTTATGAACTCTGAAAAAACAGCCACTCAAACACAACTATATGTGTGTGTGACTGGTTTTAGTTGGTTGGTTGCAGTATTCATAAAACTTTATAACCGTTAATAAAAACACAACGGTCATGTCAATCAATGCTTTAACTAATGTTAACAGATACGACTTTTAATTTCGGGAATACATTAATAAATTAACAAAAACGTATTAATGTACTAATGTTAACAAAGTAGTGTTACCGCAATTTACAAATATTTAACCGAAACACACACACACACACACACTCGAGTCCTCCGAAGTTCGTGAGTGTTTGTCTTACCCATCAAGGTGAAGAGCATCGCACCGATGAAGATGAGGAGATTCGTCATCGTGTTTCTGCTTTATTCTGTCAGTGTATTTCTGTTATTCCTCCTCATGTTCTCGCGCGCTTTTCCGTTCATCCGTGTTGAACGGTGTTCTCATGGTCCGCCATTTTTAAGCATTTAAAGGAATAAAAAGAAAATGCAAGCTGAGTTTCTACAGGAAGATCCAGAGGCTGATAAACTCATGATTAAACTCTGTTTGAAGTCTGTGTTCAGGTGAGCGTTCCCACACACCTGCGTGTTCACGCGGGCTCCACCCACCGCCGGGAACGCGCACGTGCGCGCACACCCCCTCTCGCTCGTACTGACCTTTGGATTGTGCACTAAACTATAAAGTTATGTTTTTCCTCTTGAAATCCAAACTCTCTGTTGGGGATTTGAAGCGAATAGCAGAAAACTGTTCTCTCTGAATCTGTTCGAGCGGAAGTGAAGTTTGAGGAATTCGTGGCTTTTGTTTGGTTTTGTTGTTTAGTAGAAATGAACAGGACAAACCAGTTCAGGAGAAAATTCTTGACATTTTATGAACACCCACAATCAGGCAAATTATTTGAACCCAATCTAGACTAGAGAGATATACAATTTTTTTTTACTTTATAGTAAAATATTCAATAGCATTGTTATTATTATTGTGCAAGTAAATTGTAATGTATTTATTTATTTGATCATTAACATCTAAATACATTTAACTTACACAAATGTATATTTATGCAGGAGTTGTTTGTGTTCTTCTAATTTGATTGGTCACGTGGTGTATCGAAGCTGATTTAAATATTTGTTAGCTTTGACCTGGAGCGAGTTAATTATTTAGTTTATTTCCCAATAAACATTTTCCAACTGTTTTATTGTGACACCTGCTGGTCAGCTGTATATTTAAAATAGAAATGAGAAAAGATCGAGCATCAACTAACAGGAAGGATACGAAAGTATTTTATTTAAATTAGAAACAAGAATATTTTTACTCATACATTAACAAAAAAAAATGATTGGACATAAAAATATAAAATATAACTTTACTATGTTAATTGGCATTAAGTGCCTTACACACACATTGTACAGACTAACAACATCAAACAATTACAACAGAGAAGAACTGGATATTAACAAAGCTCAATTATGTAGAAAGCATGCAGATGTTCTCATGGCAGAGGCTTCTTCTTCATTCCATGAAGAGTGTCGTAGGTGTCCAGATCATGACGGCCCAAATCCTGAGGAACAACACACACTGATCAGACCACAGCCTTTCACTCATCAGACTCGCTGACGGTCATAAATCATAATCAGACCACAGTCATTCACTCATCAGACTCGCTGACGGTCATATATCATAATCAGACCACAGTCATTCACTGATCAGACTCGCTGACGATCATATATCATAATCAGACCACAGTCATTCACTCATCAGACTCTCTGATGGTCATAAATCATAATCAGACCACAGTCATTCACTCATCAGACTCTCTGACGGTCATATATCATAATCAGACCACAGTCATTCACTCATCAGACTCTCTGACGATCATATATCATAATCAGACCACAGTCATTCACTCATCAGACTCGCTGACGGTCATATATCATAATCAGACCACAGTCATTAAATCATCAGACTCGCTGACGGTCATATATCATAATCAGACCACAGTCATTCACTCATCAGACTCTCTGACGGTCATATATCATAATCAGACCACAGTCATTAAATCATCAGACTTGCTGACGGTCATATATCATAATCAGACCACAGTCATTCACTCATCAGACTCTCTATCGGTCATAAATCATAATCAGACCACAGTCATTCACTCATCAGACTCTCTGACGATCATATATCATAATCAGACCACAGCCATTCACTCATCAGACTCTCTGACGATCATATATCATAATCAGACCACAGTCATTCACTCATCAGACTCTCTGACGGTCATATATCATAATCAGACCACAGTCATTCACTCATCAGACTCTCTGACGATCATATATCATAATCAGACCACAGTCATTAAATCATCAGACTCGCTGACGGTCATATATCATAATCAGACAACAGTCATTAAATCATCAGACTCGCTGACGGTCATATATCATAATCAGACCACAGTCATTCACTCATCAGACTCTCTGACGGTCATATATCATAATCAGACCACAGTCATTCACTCATCAGACTCTCTGACGATCATATATCATAATCAGACCACAGTCATTAAATCATCAGACTCGCTGACGGTCATATATCATAATCAGACCACAGTCATTCACTCATCAGACTCGCTGACGGTCATATATCATAATCAGACCACAGTCATTAAATCATCAGACTCGCTGACGGTCATATATCATAATCAGACCACAGTCATTCACTCGTCATCAGACTCTCTGACGGACATATATCATAATCAGACCACAGTCATTAAATCATCAGACTTGCTGACGGTCATATATCATAATCAGACCACAGCCATTCACTCATCAGACTCTCTATCGGTCATAAATCATAATCAGACCACAGTCATTCACTCATCAGACTCTCTGACGATCATATATCATAATCAGACCACAGCCATTCACTCATCAGACTCTCTGACGATCATATATCATAATCAGACCACAGTCATTCACTCATCAGACTCTCTGACGGTCATATATCATAATCAGACCACAGTCATTCACTCGTCATCAGACTCTCTGACGGTCATATATCATAATCAGATCACAGTCATTAAATCATCAGACTCGCTGACGGTCATATATCATAATCAGACCACAGTCATTCACTCATCAGACTCTCTGACGGTCATATATCATAATCAGACCACAGTCATTAAATCATCAGACTCGCTGACGGTCATATATCATAATCAGATCACAGTCATTAAATCATCAGACTCGCTGACGGTCATATATCATAATCAGACAACAGTCATTAAATCATCAGACTCGCTGACGGTCATATATCATAATCAGACCACAGTCATTCACTCATCAGACTCTCTGACGGTCATATATCATAATCAGACCACAGTCATTCACTCATCAGACTCTCTGACGATCATATATCATAATCAGACCACAGTCATTAAATCATCAGACTCGCTGACGGTCATATATCATAATCAGACCACAGTCATTCACTCATCAGACTCGCTGACGGTCATATATCATAATCAGACCACAGTCATTAAATCATCAGACTCGCTGACGGTCATATATCATAATCAGACCACAGTCATTCACTCGTCATCAGACTCTCTGACGGACATATATCATAATCAGACCACAGTCATTAAATCATCAGACTTGCTGACGGTCATATATCATAATCAGACCACAGCCATTCACTCATCAGACTCTCTATCGGTCATAAATCATAATCAGACCACAGTCATTCACTCATCAGACTCTCTGACGATCATATATCATAATCAGACCACAGCCATTCACTCATCAGACTCTCTGACGATCATATATCATAATCAGACCACAGTCATTCACTCATCAGACTCTCTGACGGTCATATATCATAATCAGACCACAGTCATTCACTCGTCATCAGACTCTCTGACGGTCATATATCATAATCAGATCACAGTCATTAAATCATCAGACTCGCTGACGGTCATATATCATAATCAGACCACAGTCATTCACTCATCAGACTCTCTGACGGTCATATATCATAATCAGACCACAGTCATTAAATCATCAGACTCTCTGACGGTCATATATCATAATCAGACCACAGTCATTAAATCATCAGACTCGCTGACGGTCATATATCATAATCAGACCACAGTCATTCACTCATCAGACTCTCTGACGATCATATATCATAATCAGACCACAGTCATTAAATCATCAGACTCGCTGACGGTCATATATCATAATCAGACAACAGTCATTAAATCATCAGACTCGCTGACGGTCATATATCATAATCAGACCACAGTCATTCACTCATCAGACTCTCTGACGGTCATATATCATAATCAGACCACAGTCATTCACTCATCAGACTCTCTGACGATCATATATCATAATCAGACCACAGTCATTAAATCATCAGACTCGCTGACGGTCATATATCATAATCAGACCACAGTCATTCACTCATCAGACTCGCTGACGGTCATATATCATAATCAGACCACAGTCATTAAATCATCAGACTCGCTGACGGTCATATATCATAATCAGACCACAGTCATTCACTCGTCATCAGACTCTCTGACGGACATATATCATAATCAGACCACAGTCATTCACTCATCAGACTCTCGATCGGTCATATATCATAATCAGACCACAGTCATTCACTCAGACTCGCTGACGGTCATATATCATAATCAGACCACAGTCATTCACTCATCAGACTCGCTGACGGTCATATATCATAATCAGACCACAGTCATTAAATCATCAGACTCGCTGACGGTCATATATCATAATCAGACCACAGTCATTAAATCATCAGACTCGCTGACGGTCATATATCATAATCAGACCACAGTCATTCACTCATCAGACTCTCTGACGGTCATATATCATAATCAGACCACAGTCATTCACTCATCAGACTCTCTGACGATCATATATCATAATCAGACCACAGTCATTAAATCATCAGACTCGCTTACGATCATATATCATAATCAGACCACAGTCATTCACTCATCAGACTCGCTGACGGTCATATATCATAATCAGACCACAGTCATTAAATCATCAGACTCGCTGACGGTCATATATCATAATCAGACCACAGTCATTCACTCGTCATCAGACTCTCTGACGGACATATATCATAATCAGACCACAGTCATTCACTCATCAGACTCTCGATCGGTCATATATCATAATCAGACCACAGTCATTCACTCAGACTCGCTGACGGTCATATATCATAATCAGACCACAGCCATTCACTCATCAGACTCGCTGACGGTCATATATCATAATCAGACCACAGTTATTCACTCATCAGACTCGCTGACGGTCATATATCATAATCAGACCACAGTCATTAAATCATCAGACTCGCTGATGGTCATATATCATAATCAGACCACAGTCATTCACTCGTCATCAGACTCTCTGACGGACATATATCATAATCAGACCACAGTCATTCACTCATCAGACTCTCTGACGGTCATATATCATAATCAGACCACAGTCATTCACTCATCAGACTCTCTGACGGTCATATATCATAATCAGACCACAGTCATTAAATCATCAGACTCGCTGATGGTCATATATCATAATCAGACCACAGTCATTCACTCGTCATCAGACTCTCTGACGGACATATATCATAATCAGACCACAGTCATTCACTCATCAGACTCTCGATCGGTCATATATCATAATCAGACCACAGTCATTGACTCAGACTCGCTGACGGTCATATATCATAATCAGACCACAGTCATTCACTCATCAGACTCGCTGACGGTCATATATCATAATCAGACCACAGTCATTAAATCATCAGACTCGCTGACGGTCATATATCATAATCAGACCACAGTCATTAAATCATCAGACTCGCTGACGGTCATATATCATAATCAGACCACAGTCATTCACTCATCAGACTCTCTGACGGTCATATATCATAATCAGACCACAGTCATTCACTCATCAGACTCTCTGACGATCATATATCATAATCAGACCACAGTCATTAAATCATCAGACTCGCTGACGGTCATATATCATAATCAGACCACAGTCATTCACTCGTCACCAGACTCTCTGACGGACATATATCATAATCAGACCACAGTCATTCACTCATCAGACTCGCTGACGGTCATATATCATAATCAGACCACAGCCATTCACTCATCAGACTCGCTGACGGTCATATATCATAATCAGACCACAGCCATTCACTCATCAGACTCGCTGACGGTCATATATCATAATCAGACCACAGTCATTCACTCATCAGACTCGCTGACAGTCATATATCATAATCAGACCACAGTTATTCACTCATCAGACTCGCTGACGGTCATATATCATAATCAGACCACAGTCATTCACTCATCAGACTCGCTGACGGTCATATATCATAATCAGACCACAGTCATTCACTCATCAGACTCTCTGACGGTCATATATCATAATCAGACCACAGTCATTCACTCATCAGACTCGCTGACGGTCATATATCATAATCAGACCACAGTCATTCACTCATCAGACTCTCTGACGGTCATATATCATAATCAGACCACAGTCATTCACTCATCAGACTCGCTGACGGTCATATATCATAATCAGACAACAGTTATTCACTCATCAGACTCGCTGACGGTCATATATCATAATCAGACCACAGTTATTCACTCATCAGACTCGCTGACGGTCATATATCATAATCAGACCACAGTCATTCACTCATCAGACTCGCTGACGGTCATATATCATAATCAGACCACAGTCATTCACTCATCAGACTCTCTGACGGTCATATATCATAATCAGACCACAGTCATTCACTCATCAGACTCGCTGACGGTCATATATCATAATCAGACACAGTCATTCACTCATCAGACTCGCTAACGGTCATCACTGTACCTGATAAATGTCTCCATCTTGTTTCTGAAAAGCACAAAAGGACAGTGAGATTGTGAGAACAGTCTTGCTCAAAGCTGTGGCGTTACCCTCTTTCTGTTCCTCTTTGCTTTTCTCAGAAGATGAGAGGATGAATTTGAAAGAGAGATTCTGCGCTTACATGCGGAAGGCCATTAACACCCCATCACAGACACATCATGCTTTTATGACACAAAAACTCACAATTATGAGACAAAAATCTCACAATTATAAAAAACCCTCACAATTGTAAATAAAAAAATCTCACAATTATGAGAAATAAACAACTCACAATTGGAGAAACTTAATATTCAACAATTTTATTGATCTGCCTGCTTTGACACCATTATATGAGCTGAACTGAGCTGGACGATGACATCACGGCTCCCTTTCGAGGGAACGAGACACTACGTCGATACGACACTTCCGGCTGTTGCGTAACGCATCTGACGCACCACCGCACCACCGTAATCCCGGTTGGTGCCGCAAACCCAATTATGACATCAAATGTCAAAAATTTAATTAAGAAAAGTCAAAATTTACATTAAATCGTAATTCTGACATGTCCGATTTGAATTTTTACAGTTTTTTCACAATTATGAGATTAAAAAGGCAAAATTAGTTAAAAAGTTGAAATTTTGGCTTTCAAAATTCAGTCATTTTCAACTTTTTATGTGATCATTTTAACATCTCATCTTATTGAATGTGGTAATTCTGACTTTTGTAAAAAAAAAAAAAAATTTGACATGTCATGAGATAAAAGTCATGAATTAAAAATATGAAATGATCATGAGTCATGAGTTTACGAGTCGTAATTTCAACTTTTTAAATCAGAATGTTGACTTTTTATGTCATAATCTAAACTATTGATGTAATAATTGACTTTTGTCATAATTTAAACTTTTATTCATAATTTTGAGTTTCCATCTCATTAATATGATGATGTATGTCAAAGTGTTGACTTTTTATGTCATTACGAGATTTTGAGTCGAAATGAGCTAAAAAGGTGAAATCTTTCCATGAATGACTCATTTCAACTTCTTAATGTCATCTTTTTGGCTTTTCATTTCATAAATATGAATATATTGACTTTTTATGTCATACAGTAATTATGATTTACAAAAGCATGTTTTCCTGAATGTGTCTGAAATGGGCTTCCGTAGCTACTGTCATCTGGCCGACCGAGTGTTCGCGTATATGAACAGGTTTGGGTTTCACAGATAAAATTAATCATGACAAAAACCACAAAAAAGAGACCGGACAGAAGAAAGGGTCGTCTAATACTGCTGTTGTGTGTTTGTAGCTGGTGTTGTATCAGTGATATGGTGTTTGTTGTGTGAAGTTAATGTGAAATGAACCGCGTGAAGAGTTGAGAAAAGTGACCTCAGTGTCCTTGCGATCGTGACAAAAGTGTGTGTGTGTGTGTGTGTGTGTGTGTGTTGTAAGAGGAAGAACAGAGTTGTGTGTAGATTCAGCAGAAAGAGAGCGTCCACACACACACACACACACACACACACACACACACACACACACACACTCACCTCAGAGAAACTATGAGACGAATTCATCTGTGAACGACAACAATCAACATCATCATCATGTTCCTCAAACGTCAGTTCCACATCAAACTCACATTCAGATATCCACTAAAGATGAGATTCTAACTAGAGTAAAAAAGTAAAAGAACTGAGCAGACCAACGAGATGTTGATTCAGACTCTACGGTTCTCACATGCACTAACTTTAATATGAATAGTTTGTGGGGAAGTTTGTTTGAATATCTGCGTGTCAGACCGTCAAGCTGCTATTGTATTTTTATGAGGATTTTACGGATAGATGCTCATTAAAAACAAACATTTTACATAATATTTTGTGTATGGTTTTTGAGCATAAACTAGCGGCACATTTATGATTAATATAGGCATGAGCGAATCGGGTTTGCAGATTATGTTTAACTAGCTTTCATGCTAAATATTGAACAATTAGCCTACTGTTCTAATGTTCAGTTTTGTTTTCATTTCTGTACATTTAATTAATGTATTAGTTAATAATGAATAAATAGCCTAAATAATTATTTTAGTACAGATACAAAAACTGTAGCCTAGTTAGAGTAATATTAGCCTACTACACTGCCAAAACAAACAAACAAAAATGTGTTGAAATACAGTGAGTTCGTGTTTATAAAAAGAACAAATATCTGCCATGGAGTCAATAAAAATAAACTTCATTGAAAGTGAAAACAATATTATTTTCTGACTCCATTGGCAGATATTTGTTCGTTTTTAAACACAAACTCACTTTATTTGTACACATTTTTCAGTAAACAAGACTCAATATCTTCTCCAGTAAATGTCTCTTGATTTAAGAATATTTCGATATTTGTGCTGAAAAACGAGACAGAAATGTTTTTTTTTTTTTTTTTTATTTTAAGGAAGAACCGACAGTAAAAGGGAAGGACATCATATTTCGCAGTGTGTGTAACACTGTCTCCATAAATGGAATTTAATCTAAGATGGGTGTAAAACATGAATGTGTGTGTGTGTGTGTGTGTGTGTTTCACCTTTAATCTGCAGTAAAGCACTGTCAAAACGACGCCGTAAACGATCAGAATCCCGTCCAGAATATAACACACGTCTCCTCCATTTCCCGATTGGGCGGCTTTTACCCACAAACACAGGAAATTATTAATAATCACATAAATATATAAACAAACACACACATTATAAATTATTAATGTTCAATGTTTAAAGCATATTATCTGTAGCAATTTTAAATGTTTACAACTTTAAACCAATACATTTTAAACAATTATATTACAATGTTTAAAGCAAAATTGTAGCTATTATAATATATTTAGAAGTTTAAAGCGGCCGTTTTAATAACTTTACAACGGAAGTGAATCAATCAAAACTAACTTTATCTGGACAATAACTTTATTGTAGATCTGTGACTGTAATCTCCTGTTAAAGCTGCTGTGAAACTCTATATTGTTAAATCGCTGTATAGATGAAGACGCGACTTTAAAGCGACGTATATTTTTACCCGATAAAGGGAATCCAGTTGTAAATTAATTCAGTCAAATTACGTAAACTCAAGTCATATAAAATAAACCTAATTTTTTTTAATTAAATGCAGGTTATTGCAACATAATATTTTAAAATAAAAATATTTTATTTTTTTAATTTAAAACAATATTTAGTTTTGTCCAGAGGGGAGTGCCGTGTTCTCGGTCCCGATGATCTTACCGACTCGTCCAGCGCTGAGCAGGAGAATCAGACACAAGTCCAGCGGCCGAATCATCATCTTCTTCCTCCGAGAGACGAGCCGAACAGAACAGAACAGAAGAGTGAAGAGGAAGAGGGACTGTGGCAGAGAACAAGAGTCATTTAACAGGAAACTGTGGGCAGAAACAAACTGTCCGTTCAGAGACACTCAAAATACACTCTTACACACACAATTTCACAACTGCATCCTTTTCTCTCTTCTTTTTCCGCTCATGCATAAAGACCCGAGCTCGACTCTTCCTGTTTCTCAGACAAGAGAGACTGGAAAACAGCTCTTTCTGCCGGAATCATGTTTAATATATCATATATTTCTCTCCAACTCGTCCTCATCAGTGTTTCTGTCTCGTGTTACGGCATAAACATCCAAACATTTCAAATAAAGGTACATTTAGAACAAGCAAAATAACTAAAGGTAAACAAGAACAAATATCTGACAGTGGAGACAGAAAAATAAAAGTAATAGTGAAAAATGTGTCTCAACTCCCACCAATTCACACATAGTATAAATAAAGTTAATTTTCATTGATTCACTTGAACTTCCGTCGCAAAGCAAACCTTTCGATTCCTTATAATCCCTCTCGAGCATTGACTGATAATGTGCCATATATGCTGTCTGTGATGTGAGGTTTGTTTCTATGATTAATGTTTTATTCAAAATCAAAGCCAGACGAAACTGTGGAAAAGAAAGTCATGTTTATTCAGGTTCTCAAGGCATCAGTTTCTTAGAGAAAAATAATGACATCATTAATCAATCAGCTTTCATTCAATTAAAGTCAACAAACAAACGCTGCGTGTCAGTGTTAATTCGGTTTTCTGAAGCTCAGTGGAAACATCACGAGCGGTTCACTGGACAGTCTGTGTTTGGGGATTAATTACAGTCGTCAACGAATAGATCGCAGTCCGCTTTACATTCCCAAATAAAAAGATTCACATCAAAATTAAGTTTGAACTTAACTCCGTAAGCTATTGCACAAACGCACTGCATTCATCTCAACACACACACACACACACACTATTCTCAACTTTAAAATCAGCTTTTTTGTGCCCGTCCATGTCATAATCAGAAAAAATCATCAGGAATAAAAAAAAGCAAAACAATATGAACAACTTTCCAGGAGAGCAGACCAGTTCAGCCCAGTTAAAACCAGTGCGGCACAACCCTGTCAGGCTAAAAATAAATTACTCTTGAACTGAAGTGTGTTTCTGTGCTAAAGGGAACAGGAGGTGGTTGTGGGCGTGTTATGGGCGGAGCTGAACAGAAGCCCGCCTTCGAGTGGATGATATTCTGTTCAATAGGTGGTTGTGGGCGTTTAATGGGCAGGGCTAAAGAGAAGCTCCGCCTTCAAGTCGATGATATTCTGTTCACTAGGTGGTTGTGGGTGTTTCATGGGTGGGGCTAAAAAGAAGCCCCGCCTTTGAATGTATGATACTCTGTTCAGTAGGTGGTTGTGGGCGTTTCACGGGCGGAGCTGAACAGAAGCTCCGCCTTCGAGCTGATGAAGTATGTTACCAATAGAGACAGCAGCAGCACAGCCACGCCCACTCCTAGTGTTAACATCTGCCAGAAACACACACAGAAAATGAAATCAAAGCAAATCATAAATCTAGATTATAGATTTGATAAATTCAGTCTTCTGTGTAACTCATTACAAGTAACTAGTAAAGTAACTTTTAAGAACCAAGTAACAGTTTTTCAATTTACAACAAAATATCTTACTTTTTCACATAAGTAACGCTACTTATTTTTTACTTTATTGATTGACAGCTCTCTTGTTGAGAGAAATAAAGTGAGGAGGTGTGTGTGTGATGGTTATTTTAGTTTAGTCACTAAATGTGAACGTAGCCAGTGACCGACGAGGATTACCTCGAGTTCTCGGCTGGCCACGAGGAAGACTCGCGCTCGGATGCTCTTCCAGCGAGACTCGGTCCATGTGGAGTAATCCCGGGAGCCGTACTCCATGAGGTCGAAGGCCGGAGACACGGCTTTAGCCAGACGCACCGACGCATTCACGCAGAACGGCTCTCCGCTGCCGTTCACCAACGGCCCCGACACCCAGAAATACGAGGAAAACTGAGAACACAAACGGGGAACATGAGCGCTGGGCATTCTGGGAACATAGACGAAAATTATACATTATGGTACATAATTATATAAATATTTAGATGACAATAATTGAACATTTGTAGGTTTTAAACACTACTTATGTGATTGAACAATTATATAATTATTTAGACGACACTTATTTAACAAGTTTTTAACACTATATATAATATATGATTGAACAATTATATAATTAATCAGATGTTAATAATGGAACATTTTCAAGTTTTTTTTCATATAGTTGAACACAATTATATAAATATTTAGATGACAATTATTGAACATTTGTAAGTTTTTAACACTATATAATTGAACAATTATAATTAAGATCAAAATAATTGAACATTTTCAAGTTTTTAACATTATATATAATGGAACATAATTATAATTATTTAGATGACAATAATTGAACATTTGTAAGTTTTTAACACTATATATATGATTGAACAATTATATAATTATTTAGATGATAATAATTGAACAAGTTTTTAACACTATATATATATATATGATTGAACAATTATATAATTAATCAGATGTTAATAATGAATAATTGAACATTTTCAAGTTTTTAACATTATATATAATGGAACATAATTATAATTATTTAGATGACAATAATTGAACATTTGTAATTTGAACAAGTTTTTAACACTATATATATATATATATATATATATGATGAACAATTATATAATTATTTAGATGATAATAATTGAACAAGTTTTGAACACTAAATATATATATATATATATATTATATATAATATAATATATGATTGAACAATTATAAAATTATTCAGATGTTAATAATGAATAATTGAACATTTTCAAGTTTTTAACATTATATATAATGGGACATAATTATAATTTTTAACACTATATATATATATATGATTGAACAATTATATAATTATTTAGATGATAATAATTGAAGAAGTTTTTAAAACTATATATATGAAGAGTTCAGATGCAAAAGCCTCTAAATGCCATTTAAAATTTTCTTCTTTAATGATGATTATCAAACTTGTAAATTTAAGTTCAGTAATTTCACTTAAATGGCAATGTTAATTACCTATTAATTGTTATTTAAGTGAAATTACTGAACTTAAATATACAAGTTTGATAAAAATCATCATTAAAGAAGAAAATTTCAAATGGCATTTAGAGGCTTTTGCATCTGAACTCTTCATGTATATATATATATTATATATATATATGTGATTGAACAATTATATAATTAATCAGATGTTAATAATGAATAATTGAACATTTTCAAGTTTTTAACATTATATATAATGGAACATAATTATAATTATTTATATGACAATAATTGAACATTTGTAATTTGAACAAGTTTTTAACACTATATATATATATGATGAACAATTATATAATTATTTAGATGATAATAATTGAAGAAGTTTTTAACACTATATATATATATAGAAATAAATAAATAAAGGAACATAATTATAATTATTTAAATGACAATAATTGAACATTTGTAAGTTTTTAAACTCTCTCTCTATATATATGATTGAACAATTATATAATTATTTAGACGACAATAATTGAACAAGGTTTTAACTGTTAAAACCTTGTTCAATTATTGTCGTCCAAATAATTATATAATTTAACACTATAAAAAAATGTAAAACATATAAATATATATAATATATATATATATGATTGACCAATTATATAATTATTCAGATGTCAATAATGGAACATTTTGAAGTTTTTAACATAACTGAACATAATTAAATAAATATTTAGATGACAATTGACCATTTTTAAGTTAAAATTATATACAATTGAACAATTATATGATTCAGATGACAGTAATCATTGAACATCATCCGGCAGGGTGAGCGCCGCTGCTTACGTCCTTGCTCTCGGGGTTCAGGCACTGGCTCTCGGTGAGGTTGGTGACGCTGCCGGTCAGGTTGGCCATGATGTACTGGACGAAGCGGGTCACGCTGTGCACGGGGCCGGTGTTGCGCGGACCCACACCGATGTAGAACTGAGGAGGACCAGAGCCTGGACACAACAGGAGAGCGGTCAGATACACACCAGCTGAACATCGACAGCAGAACCGCTGCAACACACACACACACGTCACTCCGGCGCGCTCGCTCATGTTCTGTGTACTGTATTGATCCGTCCCCATCAAACACACATTTGAAGACGTGTGTGTGTGTGTGTGTGTATATAAGTTGTGATGTAGTTAATCTAGCAATTAAAAAATTAAGCCAGTAATTTAATAATCAGCAAATAAACATCTTAATAATCCACTCTCACTGAACGCTGCTCTGACACACGACTGAGG